ACGATTTATTTTAGTCAATCCTTTACAGTTACAGCACTGTTAACGGTTCCCTCATTAACCTTTTAGTTGTAAAGGTGGGTGATATCAATTCTGCAATATATTACCAACATCTTGTATAGGCGTATACGCGCAATGCATTGTAAGCATTATGCATTTGAAATACCTATTTAAAGTCCGTAACAACTTGAGGTTTCATAAACCACCCACTATGAAACCTCTTGTGCTTGAACAATAGCTATGCTGAAACCATAGACGAAACGCTAAACCATTGACAATCCAATTTTGATTCAATGGCCAGGATGGCCATTGCCCATTGCAAGGTCTTGGTGCCTGCACCAAGTCGAACGAAGACTCACAAGTTCGTTTTACAACGAAAGAAAGCGTCGAAAAAAGAGGCGCTGAATTTAGCTTATTCAAAAACTGAAGGCAATAGCCGTTTCCACGACGGCTACGCAGTTGGTGCGCATTAGGTGCATCTTTGGTCAAATTAGGTGCAAATTTGGTCGAATTAGGATCACTGTGTTCTTTAACCCTCGCCGGCCGAGGGGGGGGGGGCGGGTGCCGCCCCCCCCCCCCATAGGGTTTTTTCGCGATAGCTCCGAACACGCTGGCGATAGAGAGCTGAAACTTTGCATACCTGACCTTTGATCCAAGCCGCATCTTTTGACACCAACCGCATTTTTGGGTCAGGTCAGGTCACTGACCTATGACGTCATAAGTGAACCTCTGCACGGTCTTCAGATGTCGCAACTTCGCAACGCCCTCACTGCCAGAGGAGATGTCACAGGGAAATGAAACTTGCAGGATCTAGTATCCATTATGAGTCTCACAACTTGTATATCTCGGATTTTTCCTAAAGGTCATATGAGGTCAGGTCATTTTCGTGACCTCACCATTATAAGTCAATGGGGAAAAATGAAAACTGCTATTCTGGCGCCGGGAACGATCTCCAACTATCTCAAGCACACAGAATCGTGATTTGATGCACTCCTTGCAAGGTTAGATGCATCACTTTTGCAATGTTGACCTTGCGTGACGTCATTTATGACGTCATCAAGGTCATATTAGTTTTTCGTCAATAACTCTTGATCAAATTGAGCTAGCGAGTCGAGAAAGCCACCAATGAACTCAGGAAGACCTGCCGAATCGAATGATATGCGACATGACCTCTTGCGACCAACTTCGTGACCTGGGGGTGCTGACCTGACCTTGACCTGAGGTCAACACCCCAAGTTGACCTGACCCGAACAAAAAGTATATCATTCGACGTGCCTGAGCAAGGCGAACACGATGCTGCCAAAATCGCGGCTCTGCGGCCGTTTTTTGCGAAGTTATTCACCAAAAACTGAACCCTACCCTGGGGCACTTGACCTGACCTCAGAGGTCACCGGTTGACCTAGGACCTTAAAATCGGGTACCAATCTCTGCGTCTCGTAACAGCGCACACGCTCGTTTTTTCCGCGACGCGCTAGCTCCACCAGGGGCGAAACGGCGAGGGGGGGGTCGTACCCGCCCCCCCCCCCCCCTCGGCCGGCGCGTATGTAGAAAACCAATAGGTCCGGCGAGGGTTAAAAGCTGCTCGTTTGGCTTGCACAGATGCTTATAGACGTCATCTTTCAAATTATCAGATATTATTTTCGATTAAAACACTGGAAATAAATTAATGATATGAAGATATATGTTGTAAAAGAGATTCGGTGCAGATTTGGCCAAATTAGGTGCATTCACCAACCAGCCCGTCGTGAAAATGGCTTTCATAACACAAGAATCAGATAATTCACCCGACAAGAATTGTATAGGTACACCCTTCGTTAGATTCAACCTACCCACTGAGAGCATGACCCAAAATCCACTTTTGTCGTTACCATAAAAGGAAGAGCCGGCGAAAGTTCAAAGGCATCCTGGCTAAGTTCTAGGGGCGTCCTAACCGAGGTCCATGTGCGGCCAGCCAAGGTCTGAGGGCTCCAGCCTCCAGGTCAGACCGACCCGAGGGCTCAAGTGCAATCTGGCCCCTGCCGAGCTCTGTTCTGTAACCCTGACCCTGTTCGGCGTCACAGCCCTCTACAGCTGACAGTCGTCATCCTGGATAAGTGAGTTGCAGACAGCTGCCATGAGACTCCTGCACAACGCGCCGCGCGCCGGTGCATCCTAACTCGTCCGTTTTCATTGGTTCCACCACTGCACCTTACGCCACGCTGATAGACTCTCAGGCTCGGCTCTGACGCTCTGTCTGCACCCTGGTGCACGTGGACCGCACGGGTTAGGACGCAGTTGGGTTAGGGAGCAGAGACCCGCTGTCTGTCAGGGTATGACTGAGTGGACCGCGTCGTGCCCGACACCAACAATGGGCCGTCCGCTCGACGGTCGAGGCCGCATCGCGCCACTAGCCGTGTCGTTCCCGAGGAGACTCGTAGATTAGGTGAATGGAAGTGGTATGTTCTGAGTCACTGAGGGGGTGGATGTGCCACGATCACCGGTTCTCCAGCTGGTGCTCCACAGTTCGCTCTGTTTTAGGGTGGATATGTAGACGCTGGGCCGGGGAATCCACGCATCTTTAGGAGCATCCATCGCTGCGATGCCACCCTCCCATAGCTAAGGCGCCGGAATTTCTGACCAGTTTCGCGGCGAGATGAATGAGAGTGACATAGCCGAGCCGATTCAGTCGCTCCTGAATATAGCCCGATATCCTCAGCCTCACATCAGTAGTTTCGCTTGTTGATGGGCCACGTTGGGGCTTATGAACCCTGGCGGGCGACGATCAGTCCTCCACTGGCGATACATCACAGCACTGTGTGCGTGTTGTCTGCGCCGCTCAATTGACACAGGTGCGCTGTGGATACACTGAATCAGCAATGTGCGCCGCCATCTCGTTACCCGCCGGTCAATGGTGCTGCTCGGAGGACGAGGTCGTCATCGGTCGCCAAAGTCGTCATCGCATTGACTGAGACAGACCGACAGGGGAGCGGTGGCCGAATGAAAACCCGAGCCAACTGGGTGTAAAGTCCCGCCGGAGCAGGTGACGCAATCCTTGTTGGAAGACGCCAAAGTTATTTGTTGAGGCAAAAGTTGGGAAGGTCCCCCAGGTCACTACTGAGGGGTTATCAAAAAGAGACGATTGTATTGCTGTTTCGCTGTTGCTCTATTTGGAGCTACAGTTAGGTCGGGCTCGTTAGAACAGCACAAGCGAAAAGCCATCAGCAATGTAGATGCAGCGATCGTGTGACGGAAATGGAGCGAGTATTACTGAATGACTGAATGGATAATGACGAGATGCGACGGTGTGGGTAGGCTTGGTCACAGATTTACCTATATGAGGAGAGGCATGACGTAACTGCAGCTGCTTTGAAACTGCGTAAGCTGCAAAGCAGTAAGCATAGATAGGGTTTAGAAGATGGCAATATAAAAAACAAGTCAATTTGAGCAGTCTATCGTTGTATATCGAATTTGAAAACACCTCCTTTTATCATGACAAACGTGACTAAAGATATTTATTTGACAACGTTTATAGAATACCTAAGCTTGGTGAACCAAGGAGGCTTTTATTCCGCGTTGTTAACTGGAGAATATCTTAACGACATAGTCGACACAGGAATTGTGCAATATACATATAACATTCATAGTCAAAGAAGTATTTTGCCTCCTCGTCAAAATTATTGGCCAGATTGCGTAACACACCGTAACGGACTATTGTATAAATCTCGCTATTGGTCTAAAACACTTCATTACCATGTTTAATCGCCTTTTTAACATGGAAAGCTTCACCGTCTCTGCCGGCCGCGCGAACTTTGCCCGTCCTAAGTTAGGCAGTATCTTATCTCAGCTTACAATGAGACGATATTGGGCTAACCGGACCATTAGAGCTGACTCGGTTGGACGAGAGATTCTCTCGATGGCGAAATTGGATAACAACTTCGACGTTATTGAGCACAAAGAACAAAGAATGCACATCTAATTTAGCCGGCGAATCGCCGCCAGACCACCAGTAAGAAACAGAAATGTCAAAAAGGAAAATACCTACTTTTTAGTAAATCACTATTTGTTCACCAGAAAAGTTTTGGAATGTAAAAACGAAAACGTAATTGGAACAACTCACAAGGATATTAGAACAAAGTGAACCCGTCTCAAAATCATAAACGGATTCTGATTAATGAGCTAGGTTGCAGTGCAAGCTCGTGCTGCTGAAGTTGGCATCAGTCCTGTTCTCTGCATGCCCCGCTGTCACGCTGGCGGTGATTTATCAATACCCAGATTGATGTGGCAGCGATAGACAGAGCAAAATGAATGCAAAGCAGAAATGCTAATGTGCGCACAGGTGCTGCTTCAATTGAGAGCCATAAGGCCGAGCTGGTCTGTTCTATTCTTAGCTTTGTACCTAAGAGGCTGACAACAAAATGGTCGAACACGCAGAAAAATGCTTGTTTAATTGCTTTGCGCATTAAACACGAGATTAAAGAAAGTAAGCAGGTTTTCGTAGATTGCCCCTTCAAGAAATATGTTAGCCTACAGTCAAAACTGGTGAAATGTTAGCCTCAATCCAGGCTGTAAGTCCGGTTTCAACGTTCTGCAGTCTGGCACCCAGTAGCAAGACTTATCAAACTTCTCAGAAGAATCATTGTGTCGACAGATTGCCAGTCGTGTTCTCTGGCAGGAATGATAAACATAAACCGGATTTGACGCAAAGTTATGCACTACTGGCATTTGCAGAGCAGACAGTGGCGCAGTTTCTTGTTTGTAAGGAACATATGAAACCACTGATGTAAATCGCAATTTTCGAGAAGGCCATGGATGCCTAGATTGCATCAATGTTAGCAGCGTCTGTGCAATAGAACTTCAGGAAGTATGTAATGTTTTACGATCACTACACAGAAGCCCTCTAAGCAACAGCGCCCCGAGTCCACTGCGTCCACGGTCCAGCAACAATATCATACACCGTTAACACACCTCTCTGAGTCGCCCCACCAAAACTCTGTGCCCCCTGCCCGCTATGCCGCGGCCCTCACCTGCGATAAGCGCCAGTAGGGCTGCAGTGCTTAGGAGCCGCCACCGCGCCATGCTGCCGTCCGACTCGACACACTGCCTCGGGCGCAACTGGTCCCGCCGACCGATGCCCCGGGCGCCGACGCGTCGGACGACGTCCCCCTCTGGCAGGGGGGGGGGGCGCCGAGGGCCAGGACACATTCGGGGGTGGTTACAGAGTTGAATAGTGTCTGTTTAGTGCAACTGGGGATTGACAAAAATATTTTGTGTACAGATGTGGCACTTGTAGGGTGCTCTATACTTGGGTGCTCATGCATCATGCTAGCTTGCGTTTATTAATTTTTATTTTGCGTTTATTTATTTTATTATTTTTTATTTATGTATTAGAATCTTGTGGCCGCAGTCGTGCCACTGCGGCGCCGCCGCCGCCCCGTGCAGGCTCGGGATGAGTTATATGGCATTGTGCGGGGCGGGGCCGGGAGGAAACGGCCGGCGGCACGCGCAGCGCAATTGTAAATTTAAGATATGTCATTTAAGGCACGTAGGCCGCCAAGCTGGCGCCTTCCGTCACCTCGTCGCTGCTGTGCAAGTTCGCACTCGTTTTGGGCGTGTTCTAGACGTTTCGTAACCTGTTGAATAAAAGGTGGGTCACGTACGACCCCCGGCCAGTCTGGGCCGGCGCGCGACGGAGGCAGCTGGCAATACAACGGCAATGTGGACATAAGGAGTTTACCACAAGCTATTTCGGCCTTGGAAGACTGCCGTGATGGGGAACGAGAAGGAGACCTGTGATCTGCGAGACGCTTACCTGCAGATCCACGTGCACGCATCGCTGTGGCCGTATCAGACTGTAGCGTTCCAGGGCAGACGGTGGTGTCTGAGCAGACTTGCCTTTGGGCTCAGTCTCGCACCGATGGTGATGAGAAAGGTGCTGGAAATGGCCCTGGCCCTGTTGTCCACTGACGGAACGCACTTCACGGTCAGCTGGAGGCCGTACTCATCTCTCAGACTCTTCACGGTCTCCAGGCGCCTTCTAATCAGCACTACTCGTGCGGGCAACCGAACCATATCGCCCGCGACTGCACGGCAGGCCGCGGACAGCGGGGCCGTGGAGGCCCCCGTGGTGGACGGAGCCTCGTGAGGTGCTACAACTGCAACCGGCAGGGGCACATCGCCTCTGCGTGTCCGGAAAACGACGCGGGAGGGGAGAGATCAGCGCCAGCCTCCTCTCCTGTCGACCAGTGAACGGGGCGCTGCCAGTCGCGCAGCTGTCGGTGGACGGAGCGAGCTGCCAAATGCTGGTTGATACAGGATGCAGCCAGTGTGTAGCTCACGTGTCAGTTTGTCGGAAGTGGAACCGACGCCCGGTGAGCGTGATGACAGTGAGTGGAGGGCGTTATTGGTGTGAGGGGTCAGGCGTGGCACGCGTGCAGCTGCGGTCCGGTGAATCAGTGTCCGTAGATGTGCTCGTCGTAGCATGTAAGCCACTGGGGTTTGAGTTCATCCTCGGGATGAATGGTATCAGAGCACTGGGTGGCGCTACAGTGAGTTCGGATGACCGAGTCAGATTCGGAGTTGAGGCAGCGGTGTCTCATATAGCGGCGTCAGCGGCCTCACCCGGTGACCGGGTCAGCTGTGATGGTGAGAGGACTGGGGTGTCGCGTGCAGTGGCAGCGACTGCACGGGTGAGTCATGATCAGGCGAGCAGTGAGGCGGCCCCAGCGTCAGGTGCAGCGGCGACAGCTGCAGCAGTGAATCGAGCTGACAGCAGTAAGGGGGATCCGGTGTTGGGTGCGGCGGCGGCGGCCGCACCGGCTAATCGAGCCGACGAGAAGGACTTTGTGGTGAGCTTTGATGAGACAGAAAAGAAGTGGTCGGTGGAGTGGAAATGGTGTGGAGGAAAGGAGCCCGAGCAGCTGCACAATACAGCAGAGGAGTACGCGATTCCAACAGAAGCCCGACACGAATACGAGCGAGAACTCTCCAAGTGGGTGGCGAATCAATGGCTCGTCCCTTATGATGAGAGCGTGCACGGGAGGGTCAAAGGCACGATCCCGCTCATGGCGGTCATCCAACCGAAGAAGGACAAAGTGCGTCCCGTCATGGATTTCAGGGAGTTAAATACGCACCTGGACCCGCATACAGCTGACGCGGATGTTTGCAGTGAGAAAATCCGTGAGTGGCGTCGGTGTGGACGAAACGTGTCTCTCCTAGATCTGCGAGACGCTTACCTGCAGATCCACGTGCACGCATCGCTGTGGCCGTATCAGACTGTAGTGTTCCAGGGCAGACGGTGGTGTCTGAGCAGACTTGGCTTTGGGCTCAGTCTCGCACCGATGGTGATGAGAAAGGTGCTGGAAATGGCACTGAAACGTGACCCGAGGGTGCACACCGCTACATCACCTTACGTGGACGACATACTCGTAAATGAAAACATCGCTACTGCATTGGAGGTGAAGGGTCATCTGGAGGCGCTCGGTCTGACCTGCAAATCCCCGGAGAAGGTGTCAGAAGGTGCTCGTGTCCTGGGCATTCGAGTCTGGGGGGAGCGGCAAGGACTGTTCTGGAAGCGGGACAACCAGGATCTACAGCCGCCGCCAAAGCTGACGAGGAGAGAGGTCTTCTCGCTGTGCGGACGTCTGACAAGTCAGGTCCCGGTGTGTGGCTGGCTGCGTGTCTCCGCATCCTACCTGAAAAGACGCGCCACTGCAGCGACAGACGGCTGGGATGACGAGATCACCGACCCAGAACTCCAGAAAATGGTCATGGAAACGCTGCAGCGCGTGAAAATGGCCGATCCCGCACGAGGTCGCTGGGATGTCACCGGCGATGAGGGAGTCGTGTGGGTGGATGCCAGCTCCCTCGCCATAGGAGCCGTGCTGGAGATGGAAGGCAGCATCGTTGAGGACGCCTGCTGGCTTCGGAAAAATCCCGAGACACACGTGAACCTTGCAGAACTGGACTCTGTTGTGCGTGGCATCAATCTGTCCCTGGCATGGAACCTGAAGAAAGTGACTGTCGTGACGGACTCGAAAACGGTCTATCACTGGCTAACAGATGCGCTCTCCGGCAGAGCTCGGATAAAGACGAAGGCGGCGAGTGAAATGCTGATTAGAAGGCGCCTGGAGACCGTGAAGAGTCTGAGAGATGAGTACGGCCTCCAGCTGACCGTGAAGTGCGTTCCGTCAGTGGACAACAGGGCTGACGCACTGACGAGAGTGCCGAAGAAGTGGCTGAACCAACAAAGCGATCCTGAGGTCTGCGGCGCTGCCTTCTCGGCGCCGGATGTGGTCAGGATCCATGAAACAAGCGGACACCCAGGCATCGGGAGAACGCTGCGCCTGTGTAGGGAGCACGACCCGGCTGTGAGCAGGCACCAGGTGCGCAGTGTAGTTAGCCAGTGCGAAAAGTGCCAGTCCATCGATCCAGCGCCCCAGCGGTGGACACATGGTTCGCTGAGCGTGACCAAATGCTGGGACAGGGTCAGCATGGACGTCTGTCACGTAAACGATCAGCTGTACCTGACTCTGATTGACTGCGGTCCGTCTCGGTACGCGATCTGGCGGCGGATAAAGCGACAGGACACCGACAGCATCATCACGGCTCTGGAGTCGGTATTCCTGGAGCGCGGCGCTCCGAGGGAGCTGCTGACGGACAACTTCACCTCATTCCGCAGTGCCGCATTCCACGAGTTCGTCAGCCGGTGGGGTGTCAGCGTCCGGTACCGAGATGCCCATGCGCCGTTCGGCAATGGTGTCTCTGAGAGAAACCATAGGTCGGTCAAAACAATCGTAGCGCGCAAAGGCTGCTCAGTGGCGGAAGCAGTCTACCGCTATAATGTGATGCCGCGCAGTGATGACCTGAACTCTAGTCCTGCCAACGTACTGTTCAACTACAAACTGAGAGTGCCGGACGTGGAGAGTGAGGAAAAGTGCGAAGAGAGTGAGTGTGCTATGTTCAGTGTAGGCGATAAGGTATGGATCAGAGACCCTAGTCGCCGGTGTGATGTGCCAAGTTCCATAGGAACAGTCACCCGACAAGTGTCGGCGCAGTGTGTGGAAGTAGACGATGTCCCCCGTCACGTGAGAGATCTGAGACTGGCTTTCGTTCCCAGTCCGGAGAGTGGCCAGACTGAGCCGCCGAACAATGACAATGACGACTCTGGCCCAATTATCTTGCGAGAGTGTGCGCACGAAAGCCACGGGAAAAATGTGCCCCCTGTGACGTACGCTGAAGTTCTACGCCGCGGCATGCGGGAGAGACGCCCCGTGCAGGCTCGGGATGAGTTATATGGCATTGTGCGGGGCGGGGCCGGGAGGAAACGGCCGGCGGCACGCGCAGCGCAATTGTAAATTTAAGATATGTCATTTAAGGCACGTAGGCCGCCAAGCTGGCGCCTTCCGTCACCTCGTCGCTGCTGTGCAAGTTCGCACTCGTTTTGGGCGTGTTCTAGACGTTTCGTAACCTGTTGAATAAAAGGTGGGTCACGTACGACCCCCGGCCAGTCTGGGCCGGCGCGCGACGGAGGCAGCTGGCAATACAACGGCAATGTGGACATAAGGAGTTTACCACAATTTATTTATTATCCACGCGTTTATTCTGTATAATTGGCTTCTTTCGTGGATGAGGATTGTTGGCGTAAAAGGGTGTGGAGAAATGTTACAAACACATGTGGGAATAATATATTTTTAAGCTACCTCTTTGCTCAGAGACATATTGCATAATGCAGCTTCTGCGTTGCATGACTGCTGTGAAGTTTCGGAGAGCGGTGATGAGGCTATCCGTTGTTTAAAAAAAAACTGACTTTCAATATAGTACCGACGTTGGAAGTTGTAAAGACGTGTCCATTTTTTCATTGACATAATTTAAATTACTAAAAAAAAAAACTTAGTGAAACAGTTCATTCAACGCACTTATTTAGCACCACAAAGCCTGACAAGTGAGCATAACAACCTTGTCAACAAACTCTAGTAGTTTTCGCATGGTGCCGCGCATCCCGGCAACTATTGGACCTCATTGGAATCATGTCGATATTGAGCGATCCACACCGCCAGAGTGCCACAATTTTCCCTTTGCTCTCCACCTCATTGATGATTGAGCAATTGGTCAAGACATAATAAAATATTTTTCAATATCGGTGGCTAGCACTGTATTGGATTTTACACAACACCATGGATCCATTTTGCAAGGGAATAAGGTTTTTGTGTGTATGATTTTTAATGTGCAGTTACCTACAGAACACTTACTTGTATTCTGCACTCTATTTTTAGTTCATGAATAATGTGTGCAGCGTGCAGATTGCACAGCATACCTGCACATGCACACACACTGATCTGATCCTGAGAGACATACAGAACTTCTCGATTGTTGATATTGATTTAATTGATTTACTGATAACTACATGATAAAAAGGTCATCGCAAAGGGAATTACAGGCCGAGAGAGAGAGAGAGAGAGAGAGAGAGAGAGAGAGAGAGAGAGAGAGAGAGAGAGAGAGAGAGAGAGAGAGAGAGAGAGAGAGAGAGAGAGAGAGAGAGAGAGAGAGAGAGAGAGAGAGAGAGAGAGAGAGATAAAATCTGTTTGGAGAGACCTTTGTAGCAGCATCCCGAAGTGCTGGCGCCGAAGCTAAATGTTGCTCGTAGGCTGAAAGGCCGCATTTGTCATGAAGTGCGCGCCTGTTCAGGTACAGGAAAGTTTTGCAATTGCACTTTGCCAAATGAGCTGAGCTTCGGAATCGCTGATGAAATAAAGTTGCATGAATTAAATCCTGCTTTCATCGCGGATTTTAGCACTGACTCATTCCAGGGTCACCAGGTAAAACAGCCACAGTAGCGCTGCCACGGAAAGGGTGAGAGCACTCTCTTTTCAGAAATGTAAGATGAGATGTGAGTTATTTCTGAAAATTATACGATTACAATGGATCGAAAAGATGGCTGCTGCATCATCAACATTGGTTTATTGACTTAGGAATGCCGTAACTGGTGTTCAGTGTCAGGTTTGCTGGTATACGTGTCCACTTATAAAGGCTCCCGGTTTTCGGACACTCAGGACCAGCTTCTCACAACGGAATCACAGTGACGCCGCCGGGAGCATTAGCGGCAGGTGACGCCAAAGTCAGGCGTCGTTCCGGCGGGTAATTCAAAACATCGCCGTCCCGCCCAGACCGCGGCCGGCCCGCCACCGGTGTCGTCTCGGCCGATGGACGATATAAGATGCAAATCCGGACAGGGAGCCGCGCTGTCGGCGGCAGTGGTGGTTATATCCAACAGAGGCCCGCCACCGTGCCGTAGGAACACGCAGCGCGCACGCACGCACGCACGCACACGCACAGATAGGATGAGGTCTCAATTATGCTTGAAAAACAGCACTGACCTGGGCCTCTCGTTTGCCTGCGTGACTGATGTTTACCCGCTGGACTGAAAGGCATTTGTTTGTGACCTGATTGACTGCAATAAATCGTTCATGGGCCGGTCAAGTTTGCATCGTTTAGAATACCAATATGACGGCCTCACATCCATAGATCACATTTTGCCCGGTCCGGTCGGTTTGCTCTGCCGTTGTGCTGGGACGTGGCGGGCCGCGACACTGCCGGGTCGCGGCCCGGCCCGCCCGACCTGTCAGCCCTGTGACGATATTGCAGCCACGAACGTCTGGGCGGCTTAGCTGAGACGTCGCGACAAACAATTACATTTCCCAGTGGGGGCGAGGGATCGCGCGGCTTGTCGCGGCCGCGGGGTGGGGAGGGATGGGGGCTGCACTCGATCGAACACCGTGAGACGATGCAAAGGCACGCCGCCATCTGACGTGGAACCTTACACATTTCTCCCTGGTCTTTTCCGCTCATTTCACACCTTAGTCTTTGTGCCATATGTAGTGTGATGCAGCACAACAGGCTACCGCATGTCCAATCACCGCCGTAAATTACCGATGCGCTTCTCCTCTATCGATCACCAATTTATTACGCCCTATGGGTCACACTGCATACCGGCAAAGTGCTACCGATGCTATACATTGTGACATAAAATCGATGCATGTTTGTCTCTGAAATGGCGTATCTACTTATGTACATACACTAGTTGAAAGACACCATATGGAGTCACATTCGCTCGGTCGTTGCCGCGGCGTTACTGTTGGCATTACCAAGGGATTGCTGCATCGGTTGATAATCGTGTTTAGGCTGCAGCCGCTGGATGAACTGGCGATTGTTACCGCCGTTTTATTTACTGCTGAGGGAGCACAGTTGTGTCGGCGGGGGCGGGGGCGGGGGCGGCCGGGACTGGTGGCACCCTCCGCGCCGGGACCGCGCCCCTCTGATTCACTGATAGCCTGGCCCGGCAGAGCGCACTGCTCTCCGGATATTGATCGGTAGAGAGTCGAACCACCGGACACACAGCAGACGGCCCCAAACCAAAAACGCCCACACCCGCGCTCCGCCGCCGCGAGAGCACACATCAGCCGGTTTTGTGGGGCGGCGTGGGCCAAATCAGCGGCGTGCTTCGATCAGCACTGAAAACCCATAGTGAAAGGTGTCTCAGGAAATTGTTAGACGGTTCATTTATATTTATCAATCGATGTGATGAAATTTAGCGAACAATGTGAGATTGAGCGAAGAGTTTCAAAAAATCCATCAGCTCTTAGCAATGTCGATTACGCAATACGCATGCCCTTACTTCTCCCGTCCGATCGTGAATTTCTAGACGGCCGGCAAAAATTAGGGCCGGGTGTTGAATGTGTACACACGACCGTCCGCCCTCGCCAACTTCATCAGCGCCGTAACGCGATCACTTTACCGACCGCGACCCATTCCCGTCACGAGCAAACAGCGAGCACCGATGCGGTTTTACTGCAGCCCTCGGCTCGGACCGAAGCGGCGTCTCGGTTAGATGTTCCCTTGGATGCGATCCTCTCGCGGAAAGACAGTTCATGTCTTTCCTACAAAAGAAAAAAGTATATTAATAGTGTTGAGATTGACGTTTTACAGTCAGATCAGAGAAATAGTCGTTTACCGTCGAATAATGGTGTGGTATATCTATTTTCGTAGCAGCCAGATCTTGCTACCGTCCGAATCGTAGCCACCACCAAATAACACAGCCGTATTTATCATGCTTATGTTTATTACTCGAGTTTTTTTCGCATCCTCACCCATATTATAGTGGCCAAGGCCATCGTTCTGTTTACAAGCCCAGCCCCTTTATGACCGCTATAAACATAAAGGATGTAATCATACAGCTCCCCTCCGATTCGGCTACCGATATTGTCCTTTATTGATTAACACAGCACAACGCTGAATACAGTCGCAGCAAAATTAACTGAAAATAGATAGCATTATGAAACTCGTTGTTCATGATAATACGATGCATGATCATGAGTGATCCCTTGCTATGAGAGAGATAGACAAATTATGCGAAGGCCTTAGTGAAAACTAGTGCGACTACAAAAAGCAGACCATGGGCTATATCTGTCACTGACTCTGACTCATTGCTTACTCCGGCCCCTACTCGTCTTTCTCCACATGGTGCATGGGGGCATCAGCCAGGCTGGAAAGGGCTAGCAACAGCCAACAAATCACCATCAGTAGGCGATGCTCCCCTCCCTGGCACCAATCGAGGACCATCGCAACGCCGTCTGATTTAGAGGCTGACCGCCGCCCTGGCACCCATCGTCCCCTCTAATCCCCTGTCCCATAGCCCCATTTCATGACCTCCCTCCTCCCCCCCCCCTTCCCAGCTGATTGGTACCGTCCGACGTTCCGAGTCACGTGTCTGTCGGTCTGACCAAAGCTGATGTGAATCGTCCGCGGAATGGTCTGATCGGACTGTTACTAAATTAAGCATCTTATGATATGTTTAAGTCGTTGGCAGTTGACGGACATTTTGTTCATCCAGTCAATTGGATAAAGCTGTTTTATGTTTTCATTAAGACGTTTCGCTGTCGCTTTATTGAATCAACTCATTGTAAAACCGTTACCAAAGCAACAAACACCACACAAAGATAGAAGCCGACCCAAGGCGGTTTCCTTCTTTGTCCTGCTGCTGACAGTGTCGTTTGGTCCGCGGGGTCAGAGGAGCCCCCCCCCCGGTGGTCCCCCCCCCCCTCGGTGATGCACGCCCGATATCTGTCCCCGGACGGTGATAACTCAATCTATTATTGCCGCGGGGCAGGAACGGGAGCCACTAGCAGCAACTCAGGCACCGAGGACGGGACACGGGTGAAGGCATCACGGTAGCTATCAGATTAGGGTGTAACTTTGGTGAGGATACCGGTAAGACTAGATTTATGAGGCGTGAATATTGAACAGCTTCTATATTGCTTGGGTATCTTAGCTTCGTTATTAGCTATAATGTAAAAAAGCGATATTGTATTTGAGTACGAGCCATACGCAATGCACATAGATAGGTTGTGCCGGTGCCATCACCCTGAGCTCTCGGGACGATGCACGGTAGGCGATCGGGCCGGTCTAGCCTCGCGAAACCTCAAAGACACTTTTTTCCGAAAATTGGAAAACAACGCAAACTAGTCGACAGAAAATTCATCAAAGATTACGATTAGTGCATTTGCATGGCTCAGGAGACATTTTTTCGTAGACAAAAGTATCGTTAAAGACAGCGTTCCGTAACACTTCATAAGGGGGATAATCACAGCCGATTTTTACGCTCTTTGAATATTTTGCGGAACGATGAAATTGCTAGGCGTTGAGCATCCATTTTGCATGGAAAGTGAAATTTAGATGTTAAGACGATTCCGCCATAGAAAGCAAGTAGACAAAATCAGTTCGAAATGTATTATAATTAGGTTAATTTTTATATTTTTTTCTACCGCCGAACATTACGTTCACTGAATTAACCAAGCCCAGCAAAAAAAGTTTTACGAGGATGAACTAAAAATAATGCTGTATCGCATGCACTAAGACACTATCTATTAGGGGAGCCAGTGAAAATTTGCAGCCACTTGCAGCCCTGGCATCCAGACACTTTTTTCTTCTAAGGGTTGGCCTTGGCTTGGTGCACTTGGGCACAAGTGGTAAATGCCCCAAAAGGTGTTTTCGCGATAGCTCAAAACACCCAGGCAATAGAGAACTGCAACCTGGCATACCTGACTTTTGATGCACGCTGGATCTTGTGACACCAACCGCACTTTCAAGTCAGGTCAGGTCACTGATCTATGACGTCATAAATGAACCTCTGCACGATCCTCAGATGTCGCAACCTTGCAACGCTCTCAGTGATAGAGTAACTTTCACAGGGAGGTGAGACTTGCAGGACTTATTGTCCTTCAGAGGTCTTACAACTTGTATATCTCAGATTTTTCCTAAATGTCACATAAAGTCAGGTTGGCCACGTGACCTCACCTATAAGTCAATGGAGAAATATGAAAACTGTTATTTTGGCGCCAGGAATGATATTCAATTGTCTCAAGTACATGGAATCGTTACTTCATGCACTCCTTGCAAGATCTGATGCTGCATTTTTGCATTGTTGACCTTGCATGACGTCATTTATGACGTCACTAGGGTCATACGCGTTTTTCGTCAATAACTCCCGATCAAATTGAGCTAGAGAGTCGACAAGGTCACCAATGGACTCCGGAAGACCTGCCGAATCGAATGATATGCGATATGACCTCCTTCGACCAACTTCGTGATTTGAAGACCTCTGACCTGACCTTGACTCGAGGTCAAGGTCAGGCTGACCTTACGGTGGCCTCACCTGAACAAAAGTATACCATTCGACGCGCCTGAACAAGGCGAACACGACGATGTCAAAATCGTGGTTCTGCGGCCATTTTTTGCGAAGTTAGTTACCAAAAACCAAACCCACTGCTTGGGTCACGTTATGAAATGGGGCCTTGCCGGGCGAGATTTACGCTGTTTCATGATATGTATAAATTGGTAGGGCATAATCGTTTGAATAAAAAATTGGTTCGGAAGCAATTTTCTACGGAAGTACACACCATTTCAATGTCCTACCCAGCTCATACCGTCATAAATTTCGACCTACCCTCAAAAGTATTCATGCGTTATTCGAGCAGTAATTAGGCAAATTGCAAGCTCGCCACAGAGCACAAATCCTATAAGAGATAGTCCTTATTTAAAACATATGCTCATTGGATATTCAAGAAGGTTGCTCCTAAATATTGTGGTTCTAGCTTCAAAAACATGGATGTTATGAATGCCGATAGGTTTCGCGAGGCTACACCGGCCGGATCGCCCACTGTGCGATGGCGAGTGAGCAGGCACTATGCTAACTGACGCAGGGCTGCCTCATTTATGCGCGGCCGCTCCCCGGTCGACACTGCTCTGTTTTATCGAGTCTCCTTGTCTCCGAGTGGCGTGTGAGGTATCCCTCCTCCCTCCACAGTCCCGACCTGGAGCACTGACCCCTGCAACTGTGACCCGGATACTGGGGTGGTTCAAACCGGGACCCGGACAATGACGCTGGCATTAGGGGGCGTTATTTATTATTATATTCACTCTTTTAAAAACCATTAGGATTGCAGAGACTTGCTAATTGCAAAGATAAGTGAGATAAGCTGTGAAGGCTGCTCAGTGCTCATAAGGGTTTGGATTAATCACTTGTTATTTCTTTGTTTCCTCAATATGAATAATGTTTCATACGTACGCGTATACGTTTCGTGAAAACCAATTAAAATCATATTTTACCAACTCGTTGGAGCCTCGGCACATCCCAGTGGTATGTATTTACCTGAGATTGGATGCGTTTCAAAAACGGTAAACTCAGAAAATGTGGAGAAAATGTGGACCCCATAACCTATAATTCTTCATTAGCACCTGATCGATGTTAGCTCACATGACTTTAGGGCTTTTCCGACATCGATGTATTCCACTCAACTTATTGGATAGGCTTCACAGTATCTAAAACCCTGATGAAAAATCATTGCAACTACGTGGCGTAGTGTGTGCCTGAATCCCATTGAAGCCTGACACCAGTTACCAGTCTAATACAATCACGCCCTGACCTGGAACACGTGTCCGCAGGTCAATGACCTAGGGAGACCACGGGTCGGTCGGAGCGGCGCCAGGCAGAACAGGGCTGGGGGAGGGGTGGGGTGAGAAAGGGGAGTCTCGTGCGGCTCTGGACTGGCGCAATGTCGCCCGCTCCGCCGCCTCCGCCCCGCCCTCATTAGCAGGCCTGTCAGAGTTCCTTTAACTCAAAGTTTGCAATGAATGCATTGATTTCTTGAACACTTCATAAAGAAAGGAAGCAGCTGACACGCCGAGGCGCGTGTGAGAGAAGCAGTAGGTACTAGATACTGAGAAGAGACCTGCGACATGGGCCAGCGTATTGCTTTTATAGGCAATCATGATAGGCTCTGGCTTATTAGTTTCACATGATTCAAATGAAGCTTAATGCCATTGATTTATAATCCCCGAGCCCCCAAATTAAGAAAGACAAAGCAATATTGCTAGTGCTCTTTTTCACTGCTAAACGCCCAACGCAGCGCCAGCGTGTATTGGCAGTGCGCATCCCGAGCGGCCTGAAATGATGGGATGGGTAGGCTGTACCGCAATACCGATGTGCGTGGCGGAACAGCCTACCTGCCTGCTGAAGCCGCTAACACCATGCTGCATTCACCAGCACACTTCAGCTCCAGCGGGAGATGGGCAGAACGCTACATATTCTTGGTAGCTCGGTCACCACACGGCTTCTGCCACTAAAGGTTCATTCCCATGGCGCATTGCAGTTTCATGTAAACATCTCAGGATTTTATGTTCGTCTCGGCTCGTGTTGTATATGACAACTGTGCACCGCACTGGAAGGGCCGGTCTGAGGAGAAAATGGATCTCTTTATGCGTCAATCTGAATCCAGTCAAACAGTATGGCATGCAGGGAAGGGAAGCTTGTAGCAGCGATTAGGAATTATCTGACATGACATTACCTGCACGAGTCACAGTCACGGTTATTTCAGCCGCCACGGCAACTAGCCGGCCGTCAGTGGCCGAGTCAATCCATCAACGTCACTCAGTGTCCAAATCACAGTTCTGTCAGACGTCATTTGGCCTTCAACTGTCACAGATTGTCCGTCCGTCAGCTGCCACCCGACATACGTCATTTGACCGTTACACGTCCCCAGAGGCATCCGTCTGTCAGCCGCCACCCGCCGTCTGTCGGCGGTGCAGGTAGTGGACATTGTACGGGCTGTCCCCTACCGCTGGACAGTGGACATTGGACGGTGTATGCCGGTGGATGGACAGTGGACAGTGGCCGTCACTATACGGGGCGCCGGAGGAAAGCGGACAGCGTCCTGGGCGCCGCTGGACAGGAGACATTGTCCGTCACTATTCAGAACGAAGGACAGCGGACAGTGGACAGGGTCCATCAGTGTCCGGAGCACCAGTGGACAGTGTCTGTCAACTCTGTGGGCGCCGGTGGACAGTGGACAGTGTCCTTCACTGTCCGTCAGTGCCGGTGGACAGTGTCCGGTAGCTCTGTGGGCGCCGGTGGACAGTGGATAGTGTCCTTCACTGTCCGTCAGTGCCAGTGGACAGTGTCCGGTAGCTCTGTGGGCGCCGGTGGACAGTGGATAGTGTCCTTCAATGTCCGTCAGTGCCAGTGGACAGTGTCCGTCAGCTCTCTGGGCGCCGGTGGACAGTGGACAGTGTCCTTCACTGTCCGTCAGTGCCGGTGGACAGTGTCCGTCAGCTCTGTGGGCGCCGAGCCGCGGCCGCTCTCCATTTCCGCCCAGTCGGGTCGGACAGTTCACTCCGCGCCATTAGTCTAATTAAGCCTCTGTGGGGTGGCCGTGGCAGACCGGCCGGCCCGGCGGTGGCTGCAGGGCCGGCGCGGTGGGGCCCGCCGGTCACCCGCAGGGGAGGGGGGGGTTCAGGACCACGCCCTGGTAGCGTGAAGACACGACCGGTCCTCGGACAGCGGCACACGCTGGGGTCGTCCCATATCGCGCGCCATGTGCTAATCACAGTCCCGTGGAGCGCCGTTCGGCGACGGGGACCGTGCGCCCGGGGGCCGGTGCCGAGCGAATGGGGAGCTGAGGCGACAGTTAACGGGCTAGGGCGCGATGTCGTGCTAATGGATGCTGTTTAAAACAGCGAGCACAAAGAAAAACAGCAGTGGTGGCACCCCATGAACTATTAATATCAACAAATTAACGCCGAGCCTAGGTCATTTATCCCTTCAAGCATACAATAAAGGGAGATAACATAGCTCAGTCAATGAACTAGAAAGAAACTTTCGGCATTTTACTAAGAGACTCGCAAGTCACAGTTCTTTATTGCCTACATGCGCACTGAGTTTATGCATGACATTCAGTCCACGGTGTATGCATGCTCAACCAAGATGGCCTCATGCATCGGGCGACCACTGCACGGCGTGACTGTACATCCAAGCAGAGGCGCGGCTCACCAGATGTGAGAAGACAGAGGTGCCTGGACACCGCTAGACATATTCGCTCGTAAAGGGAGCAGCTCGTCAGCCCCGGGCGAGTTACGAGCGAGGAACCTTTCATGAAATGAGTGTAAAATGTAGGAGGCCTGGCTGCTCATTGATGAAGCGAGAAAACGCTGAGCGATTGGATGTGATCGGGTCCACTGCACTGTCCACATCTGGGGGTGCCTCACACTCTGAAATTTGCTTCTCGTTCTATTTCATATGTAGATCTGACTCAGACTGAGACTGGACTAAGAACAACAGAAATCCGTTTCACATTCTATGGGCATTGCTCTCATTCGTGCACCATTCGCCACTTAAGTACACACGCAACAACAGGAGGAGACGGATGAACTGCCAACACCAGGTACTTTCAGCTAACAACATTTTTTTAAGTCAGCTATCATGCTATGCACTTGGAACAAACATAATTCCTCGCAAGCATTCGGATTTTGAGGATGAGGTACTCCTCACCTTTTCGCCTTAATTAACCCGCGCCCCGCTGGGGCTCCAGGATTTCCATGCCCTACTGGAGGTGTTTGAACACTCCCCTCCCCCTTTAACTAGGCTCTTGGGCCACGTAGCGATACGGGATAGAGCGGCGTTCGAAGGACCGTAAAAAAATAATGACGAAATAATAACTTAGTCATTATTTTTTTACGGTCCTACTTACGCTACTTTTTGGTCAGGGCAAAGTTCAGGCCACCAGAGGTCATCGAAGGTCAAATTTAGTCGACTGTCAAGTCGAATGTCGACAACAAACCGACGCACAACTTGAAAATAAATAGAACCATGCAGCGCCCCGAAAAGGTGCATTTGATAACGCTATAAAAGTTCTTTCTGAGTACCTAATTCCCTCAACTTTGAACTAAGAATTTACTTATTTTTGAATGTACTTAAATTGGAACTAAGATTAAGAACGATTTTGCCTGCAGGGTACAACAACTGCAAAATATGTAGACGTTTTTCCGGTAACAATTTTTTTTTCAAATAACTTTTTACTCAAACCTACCACGAGTTTCATTTACCGGCATCGTGTTCTCATCTCATGAAGCCGCATCGAATGAACTATAATTTGACTTTGGAAGGTCAGCTTAACCCGCGCCCTAGTGGCGGTCTCAGCCAACTTCGCCCTAGTGGGGGGGGGGGGGGGGCATATGTTACCACCCACCTCTAACTCAAAAACTGAGAGGACTAGAAAGACACGATAAAAAGCAGTCGATAGCTCTCGATGCGTACGTTTGAAAGTAGTTCGGTCATTTTTCATCTTAGAGCAATATTGGGGTCACCAGAGGTCATCAAAGGTCAAAATTTGCGAATTGTCATTATATTTTCAGAAAACATGCCATTATCTCAGGAACTATGATAGCTAGAAAAACGCTGGGAAAAGCAATCGATAGCTTTTGAACTCTGCTTTTGATAAGCTTAATATCAAAAATGTCCTCAGGTCAACGGTTTAGCCTCCACAGGGCAAAAACTCCAAAAATAACTGTTTTTACGAAGTGTTTTTCATCAATAACTTTTGGCTAAAAAACGCCAGGACATTTCTATTGCCAGAATCGTGTTCCTCTCCCCAAGACGCGTCGAATGAACTATAATTTGACCTTGAAAGGTCAACTTCAAAATTTGACCTCAGGTCAAGGTCATGACCTGACCGGAAAAGGTCATGTTGCATATCAGTCGATGCGTCTCGGCAAGACAAACACAATGAGGCCAACCCCAACGTTCTATCTCTTTCCAATCGAGAGTTATTGGCAAAAAGCTGTTTGTAGCCTCAAATGACCTCGGATGACCTTCCTAGAGGCTATCATCAAAAAAGACACCTTGGTCGTCACGGGTGGTCCAAATCATTATGATTCTGAAATATTTGGACTGTTACTATGCGTACACACGGATCTAGAGGCATTTTCGTTTTTCTCCATTGACTTATAATGGAAAGGTCACGCCACTGACCTGACCTTAGGTCACGGATACACAAAATCCGAGATATAAAAACTGTAGACGCTCATAACATCATGCAATCCACCAAGTTCAAAACCTCTCTGACAAAGACTGCAGGCTGGACATGATTGCAAACTTTTTTAGGCTTGGTCAGTTAACTTGACCTGGTGACCTGACCTGACATGACCTTGGGTCAAAAATTTCACACATTGTCCAAAATTGATGTGCAAAAAGCTACTCCAAGCGGCGCGGCGCTACGCGCCGCGGTTTTTTATTCACACGCAAAAAACGCGACAGGGTGGTAATATATGCCCCCCCCCCCCACTGGGGCAAAGGTTAAACTTAGGTATCATGTCGTATCTATGTTGAAATTTCTCTCCTATCGGTATTGTGAACACAACATCGGGACAATGTTGTATCGATGTTGAATCACAACGTTGAAATTCTACCTATGTTGATATTGTGAATTCAACATTGGGACAATGTTGTATCGATGTTGAACTACAATGTTGAACTTCAACCAAGATTCGACAAATCACAACCAAATATCAACGTGATATCAACGTTGAATCAATGTTGAATTCGTGTTGAAGCACCAATATTGACAATCAACCTGATTTCAACATATCTCAATGTTGTATCAATGTTGTGTGCTACTAGGGATCGGCATGGGCGTCGAAAGCGGGGGGACGGGGGACGCGTCCCCCCAGTCGAGAAATCTTGGGGGACTTCAATTGAGGGGGGGGGCGCTGCCGACCTTTGGTTCCTTTCTTTCCATGCAACGCCCATTGGGCTAATGTTAAAATGCCCAAATAAGGATCACGGTGCCCCAGTGCCTCCCCGTTCCGCCGTTTATGTTACGAAGGCACCAAAACTCATCAAAGCGTTTGGCGTTTGGCCCTTTCGGGGGGCCTCCTGAAAACCCCAAGGGAGGGGCGGGCGCCCCTTCCGCCCCCCCCCCCCCCCTTGGCTACGTCTCTGGGTCCAGCGAGCAACTCACCCAGCTAACAATTTGCCGTTGTTACAACGTCGTTTAAACGTTGTCAAATGGTTACCACAACGTCCCGATTTATCGTTGTGACAACGTAATTTTGTAGACTCCAGACAACGGCGTGACAACGTCATCCGACCATGCATTTGAATGTCATCACAACGTTTCTGTAACGTGGCCGTGACGTCCCAAAACTGTTCTTACAACGTCCCGCCAACGTTATGAAATGTTTTCTGTAACGTACCAACAGTGTTTCTGGAACGTTGTCACCACGTTTCCGCAACGTGACTACAAGGAGTATAGAACGCTTTGGCAACGTCTCTGCGACGTTTTTATCACGTGCGCACCACGTTGTCGCCACTTCGTATTGCCGTCCCTGTGACCCTGAGTAAACGTCCTAAACATTTTCGCAACGCCCTCTCAACGTGTTTGCAACATACTCAGAATGTGTTTCCGACGCTCTCTTCCCGTTCTCTAGACTTGTAAAAAAAGGCATGTAAAAAGTGTATATTTCAATACATCATACAGGTCAATTTACAAAAAAAAAAAAAAAACGACGGCGGCGGCATCGGTGATGGGGCATGGGGCCCAGGGGCGCCCCCATGGGGGCGTGGGACGGAATTGGGTTCTACCGGCTCTGGCGCTAGCCGCTAGCACGCCAGAACTGGTGGAAGTTCACTTCTTCACTAACCCTCGCTGGGAGGATCACTCGGCGGACCGTTAGGCACCGGCTCATTTGCGGCCTCGATGTCCCTAGGCAGCTGGCAGTGTCTGACTAGACGGTCTGCGCACCCCCCGTTCCGGTCGCATCTTCCGGACAGCCACTTCGCTACCGCATTGCCGACAGTAGGCCTGCCACAAGGCGCGCTGACGAGTTGCAGGACGTCTGCGGGAAGACATGAGGGAAAATCAGACATTCAATTCATGAAAAAATCACAAAAATACCTGCACCACTTTCCGTAACAGTGCGACAGGCTAGATCAAACATGTCAACACCTTAGAGGCTAGAGCTACAATGAACTATAGCCTAAACCGCACGATATTACAAGGCGCAATCTTGCAAATGCTTCTCGTAAATGGTACTTTAACTTACCAGTCAAAGCAACAATCGCATCAAACGCAGACAACTGGCGCTACTTTCATCTTCCAGCTATCTCAGCCGCGCCCGCCGCCGGCCCTCACCGCTCGCTCGCGCCGCGTAGACTCACGGTACATAGAATACTAGGTAACACCGGTTTGTCCGCTCAACACAGGGCCAATGGTCACCACTTTCTTCAGCTGACGTCTGTGACCTTGAGCTGACCTAGGATGATAAACAGCTGACAATTTAGGCCATTTGGAGCTCACTTGACAGCTGAAGAGCGTGATTTAAAATATAAATATTTGTCAGGCACTGACAAAAGATATTATTCGCCAGTCATTTTTTAAGCACATTCTGTCATAAATTAGCTGACTCCCTCTGGTCTTCCACACAGCAGAAAATGCAAGTGCAAATTCTGCCGTCTTGAAGTGAGCCAAACGCTTATGATACACATGATCGTTTCTCTCAGAGCACAACGGAAACTGCGAGAAAACAAGAGAGAGTCGGACTCTACAAATGAATGAATTTGGAAGAAAAATAGCTGTATTTTTTCCTGTGTAAATGTTGGCTTTGAAAACATTGGCCATCGACTTTAAAATTGCCCCCAAATATGAAAATGTGTGAATTGACAAAACAGGCAATCTTGCTGTTTTTGCCCAAGTTTGTTCATGATTGAGAGAGATTCGATGCGAAAATGCACTGATATATACTTTTGAAAGCGAGGTCTCGATCAGTGTATTAATTTTGATTTTTACCTTAACGCTAGTCCCACTTTTCCCTCCAAGAAAATATATTTGTCAATTTTTCAATAATCATATTATGCGTCATTGCTTTAAAAATAAAGAGAGTCGGACCGTAATTCTTTCAAAATGACTGATCGTGCTCAATATCTATCGGAATATATCAACAGATTGGCCAGACTCATTGGCTAAATATGTTTAAATTGCATTTTTCTTACTTTCTGCAGATTTTCCTGCAAAATTTAACTGTAGTTTAAGCTGCGTTTCCTGCAGATTGTGTTCACAGACCAATGGGAGACAAGTATTTCTTCAACATGCGCAGCTTATGTCACAGCTGCGTAAGAACACGTTCGCTTGAAATCATATGGATCATTATAGAGTTCAGTGTTTGGATATTTCTTTTCGGAATATCAAAGGTCAATGTTGATGCGTTTCATAAGATTTGTGGTGGCGGGATTATCGTCATTAACTAATTACTTGATATATTTTAATGAGGAGTGGTGTAATGCCCGCACGACTGTTGACTTTCATTGTAATTGCTTGAGCTGGTTCCTGGGCCGCCTCAGATAGCAGGATGGTGTTTCACTTTTAGTATCATGGCCTGACAGGAAGGTGGGTACCCAGACCCTTGCCCAGACCCCTAGTCCCCTAGCTCAATATTAATCTCAGATGAAGCCTGTATATATGTCTTAGAGCTTGTTTAAGTTTTAACCTCACCTTCATATAACCTAACATAACCTGAAATAACCAGACATGCTAGAACCCTTATTTTGGTCAAATGCCGATGAGCAGAAAAATATTAACTTTTTGATGATTTGCCATGCCTACCTATTGCTATGTCTGGACGAGGGTTTCTCGGTTACTGTGTAGATAAACTATGGTGAAGATAAAAAACATCATCTACCCTAGCCTAACCTTTGCGTACTAAACTACCACTTTTAGTAAATGTTCAGAAAGAGTGATTCACTTTTCAGGCATACATTTTGTACATTCTTGCACTATTTGACATCCTGAATCCAGATATGATATTTACATGTGATACAAATACAAAACAAAAATCAAACCTTACCTAACCCCATGCCAGACTGGAAAACATCCATACACTATGCCGGATGCCCGTGAGACTATCTTGCGCCGAAATTCGGCGCAAGCGATTTTGCGCCGAAATTTCTGAGTGATTTGCGCCAAAAATTAGGTGCCTATTTGTGCGAAAATTAAGCCCTTTTCATATAAAGCACATGTGCACATATACTGATCAAGGCTATATCAACCAGGCAGAGTGTTTCGGGGCTTTGTACACTATCCCATGTTTGAGCGTTCGAATTAGTTTTTATTTCCACGTAAACCCAATACCTCGGTGGGAGCCAGCGAGGGCCCGGCAGCGGAGCAGCACGTGCTCGGGCACATCAGCCTCTTCTCGGCTCACGGTGCAGAGCGCCGCTGGGCACCGCTTGTCTGGGCACTGCTGACACGCGGTGGGGTGGAGACAGCCGATTCGGTGCCGTATTGGAGCGAGCTGCCCCGGTGGCCCGCCCTCATCTGGTGCACCGAAATGGCATCCTCTCGGTCCTCTCCGGGGAGAGGGAGCGGCGGCGTGCTCCCGAGGAGTGGCTTGAATAGTGATTCTGAGCAGTTGTCGCGCCACTGATGCGAGGCCGCACAATGAACCGCCCTGGTCAGCGATCGGGCGTTTGAGGGCAGGGCGGCCGCTAGTTTTGCCAGATCGTCCACGCTCTCATTCCCCTCGATACTGCAGTGGGCAGGAACCCACTGCTATTGCTTAACGACGCTTGGCGACGTTCAACAAGGTTTTCCATGCCTATCTCTACGCCGAAGGTTGAGGCCTCACCTGGGCGGCCGTTCCTCCGCTGAGTAAACTCAGGGCGGCTCGCCAGTTCGAGCACGCGACGACCGGGGCGGGGACGTCTCGTCCCGCAACCTCTCCAGAGCTGCCCACGGGGCGAATCTGCTGCTAGATTGACCAGCGTACCGCATAAATTCGGTGACTGTTTTCGCCAAAAAATTATGCGACCGCCCTGCACCGAAAAATTCGTCCGCCGCCATGCGCTGAATTCGGCGCATGCGAAGTTACGCCGGACGTGCGCTTAAATTTTCGGCGCAATCCCGCCACTACGCCGGACATATTCGGCTTAACGTGTATTTTTTTCCAGTCTGGACCCCATGTTGCATATTCATATGAACTGTAGATCAGATATTTTTTGAACAAATACCCATCTTTCATCCTTTCAGCATGCCTACAACCTACTAAACAGCCTTGGTATTAACCTACCATTCATACTTTACCTACACATACATATTGATATATGGGGTATGTTTGGTTCAGTAGGTTATAGTAGGTCAGGTGCCTACATGCTATCATTTGTCATGCTTTGATTTCAGGTGGTGTCTTGTGGGCTTTATAGTGGGCTTTGTGGCCCTCTCTAAGTGCAAGGGTTAAGTGTTGATGCACATAATGCAATGTTTTTTTTCCATGGGCGCAGGAACCTCACGTAAAGTGTGGGGGGGGAGGGGGGCAGAGAACTTCAATGTCACTTTGTGGGAACCCCAATACCCCTATGAACAAATTCTTTGCAGTTTCGTGCTTATCTCACCTTGCCGAACAATTTCTTGCTGTTAGTTTTGAATTTAAATGAAAAAATAAATATTTTATTTTTAGCATAACTGAAAAAGTGGGGACATCCCCTTCCCGATCCTAGGCCGCCTATGTTTTCTTTTTCTTAATGGTACAAATCATCCAGATTCATATGAGAAGGGTAGGTAGCTACCTACAAAATCAAATCAATGCCTCAATTGTTTATTGTTTTATTACAATAAGTCCCTCCTCTGCCAATCACACTAAACTATCTACTGTCACAACGCAGTGTGCGTCATGATTTCTCAACTCTATGCATACAATATATTTCCATTTGTCAATCACATATTGTTTTTTTTTTTTACAGGCTTTCCGGTTATGACTGAGGCCAGCATCTCACGTGCCCTGGCTACGCCAAATCACTGCGGATGCCGGATGCCGAGGACCGGAGAGCCAACCGCTTTGAGGCGTGAGCTCTGTGGCGTGGCTCGAGTGATCACCAGGTTCTGACGGCTACGGCGCCGTCGACCTGGTTGAATAGCTGGGGCCTGGACGAGGGTGCCCTTAGTACGGTGGTCAATCGGTTACGTCCGAGGGACGCTCGAACACGCTGCCGTCGCGTGGCTGCCGGCGGCCGCCCCCTCGCACGTGAATCTCCTGGAGCGAGGACTGCGGGAGGCGGCCGCATCATCACCTGTGTCCGCGCTCAACACCGTGCCACTCACTAATGGCGGATGCCCGACTTTCTCCGATGGAGGAGAGAAGCTGGACGCTGGCTGCCAGGCTGCTGGGGAGGGCGCTGGGTCTGCCATCAGGGGACCCCCTGCGCGCGACCGCCGAGGCCTCGGCACCGGCGCGCCTGCCTTCGGCCCGAGGCTGGAGATTGCGAGGCCGCCAGGCCTGGGCGAGAGCGAGAATCCCACCGTGGCAACAGACGGCTGGCGTCACCTTCCGGTTGGACGTGTGCCCGATCCGGGCTGGGGCCACGGCGGCGGAAAGGGAAAGCGTGGCTACGCTGCACCTCGCGTTCCTGCCCCTGTGTGCTGTCCGGCTTTGGACGGACGGATCTGTGGAGGGCGGAGTCTTCAGGCGCTGGGCGGGAGCCGTGCTGGTCTGGCTGGACGAAGAGGTCGAGGGACTGCGGGCCCCGGCCGGAGAGTTGTGCTATAGCTACCGCGCGGAGATGGTGGCGCTGGTGACCGGTCCGGAGACCGTACTCGGAAGAGACAGAGACCAGGACCTGCGGTCCGTACCTATCTGCTAACTGTGCGGTAGTGCTGGTGTAGTGCAACATTTTTGGATGGCTAGCTACATTTCTCGATTAAATAGCTGGTACGTTTCAGTGCAGGTGGCGTGACGAACAATGTATCTGTTGGCCACTTCTGCGGCCGCTGCCATTTCCTACTCGAAGGCGGGCGTGCTGTTTGGCTGGGCCGGCAGGATGTTCCCATTATGTGTCGACGACAAAGCGAGTATATTCATGTTCTTTTAATGCACAGAAGTCTGTTGTATATTTGAAGTTTTATTTTAGGTTAACGATTGCGAAGGGCAGATTCATCTTCTCTCTTTCATTTGTGTTGCCACTTAAGCGTTCATGTTTGTCATAAGTGTCCTGGTCCGGCTTGGTTGTCATCTTTATTCGTGATGTATTTTATTTTACGAACATGCTGGTGATCAATGCAATACACTTTTGATTAATAATGCTGCTTTAGCTCTGATCCTTTGTGGTATGTCTTGATTGTACTACTGCGATAGTGATTTTTCCTCACCAAAATATGCAGGCAACAAATGTAAATGCTGCCAAAAGTTTGTCATTGCGTGATGTATCTAAAAGACATCAAGTTTCTGAACGTGGTCGTGTACTACGCAACCGGAAACTCAATAGGACGTGGAATGCTGTGAAGCAAAACTACAGAAGTGAGGCTGGCCACGCCAAAATCAAGTGAGATATGTCTAGCCTTTCTTCAGCCGCCAAGGCTTCGACAGACTATCCGCGGGTTCGGTGTCTCTCGAACTACGAAGATTCAACGTCGTCCGGCCAATCCTGGTTAAGGTCAGCGGGGACTTAGCTGTGGTTATGGAACAGGATTGGCTGTCCGAGAGACTCCGAACCTGGGGTATGCTGCAGCACAGCTATGTCGACCGAGTGTCGTCGCAAGCTGCCCCACTCGACGAGAAAAAGTAAAACCGTCCCGTCCTAGGCTGACTAGGCTTAGCTAGGTGGCAGCACAGTCGCGCCGGCAGGGGGCAGTGCCACAACCAGCCGACTGATATTTTCGTGTGACGTCAGAACCGGTGCCTCCCTGCGTAGACTGCGGCTCGGCCGGCTGGCTCTGAACGCCGGCCGGTGACACTGACGTCACGGCCCCTCAGGCGAGGTCAGGGCGCGAGCCACCGTTCGCCTGAGTGGCGGCCCGCGTGGCTTGCTGGCAGCCGCGGATAACAGCCGCGTTTACATAGGGATAGTTGCAAGCCTCTAGCTCCGCCTGTGATGTTGCAAAACATGCCAATGACGCTTTGCAATTTACACATGTTATATATTTATATATATATATATATATATATATATATATATATATATATATATATATATATATATATATATATATATATATATATATATATATATATTAGAGAGAGATAGAGAGAGAAAGGTATCAGAATTTACTTGTAAAAACACCGCTAATTATTCAGTACCTATAATGTCAAGGTTGTGAAAAACCGTTTTAACAACGTGTTGGCGACCACCAGCTGACAACGTGAACAGTCCAAGTGTTAAAATATGTCAAATTTAACGATGAAAACTGAATATGCGCATTGAAAGTCAAAGGAAATGCATTATATGGCCATATATGTCACCATGCATTATCAAAATATAATGCTGCAAGTGCGCGGTTGCTGCAGCGTACCAATAAAACGTTGTCACGACGTTTTACCACGACTTTCGGACCAAACCATGGCTTCACAACGTTCAGAACGTTGCTACAACGTAATTAAAACGTAATTTCGCAACTTACCGAAACACGACGTTGTGACAACGTTGTAGTAACGTTTCCTGTTAGCTGGGCACCTCCCGTTGGTACTTGCACTTGAGCCCGGCAGCGCTGACGTGCCTTTTAGACCAGAATTGGAGGTCTGCCTCATTTCACATTAGTCATTTGAGCCGGACAGGTCGTCGGGTCAATCACCTTCACACTGGTGAGAAAGAGCTACTAAGTAGCGAAATTTGCTACGAAGTAAGTGTTATTAGGAATGCTTAGTTCGATTTACTGAACATTGAAAGTGTTAGTTATATTTCCTATGATTTAGTGATATAAAAATATTTTCCTAGCGAATTAGCCAAGCACCTGGGAAACATGTCAAGATATGGTAGCACTTGTTTCATACAATAGTGACGCCAGAGGCTCATTTCCGACCGACGGAAAGGTCAAGGCGGTGTGTGCCCACGCTGCCGTTCTATTATAATTTTCACGTTTTTCGTATTTTTTTATATTTCAATTTTAATCTGTAAGTAAAAAGGTAAATATGTCCGTAGTACTAGCCTTCGCACTTTCCTTTCATCAGCAATTAACGTATTCGTGGACTTATTCGCTTATTCGAGCTTGTAAGGTGGTTTTGGACAGCTGGGTCTTAAACACATTGATTATGGTTAGGTATTTCATCCATGTTTTACAGTTATACCTACTCGTCATACATATAATGTACATCCAATTTTCTTATGCTTCATGATATGGTGCTTTTGCTGAGGTGTTGAGTTAGCTTAGTTTACTGTTGCGGATATAGATAGCTGTCGTAGATGTAGATTTATATGGTACCTACCTAAGTGACCCAATTTGTGCCCATATTTATTATACATCCTGTCATCCACAGAACAAAAATTATAATTCCTTATTGTTTACAGCTTATGCTCTCATGGAACATCTTTTCAAAGTTCAAGGAAATTGAGAAAGGCCCACTTTTCTGACACTGCATGTTGTGCCAGAAAATTGGTTTGTCATGTTTCCGCATTGATGCTGTAGAGCTGCATGCAAAGTCTGCTCTGCTGCACTACACCACAGGAAAGTGTAGTCCATGCTGACATGATTTTGACGAGTTGCCATCCTTTGTAGTCCGGTCCTTATACCTACTTATGTACCTAGCCCCTAGGTGATGCTACTTCAATATGTTTCAAAATTCATGATTGGTAAGGACATATTCTTCAAGCGATAGCTTAGAACCTAGTAGGTAAGTTCAAGTTTTCTCAATGTACCTAACTCAGGGTAAGATGTGCTGTGAAATTAAGCATGATCTCTCTTTGGACTTTGGTGATAGTTTTTATCAGCTTGCTGCTGGTGTCCCCATATAGGTAAGCTCTTTGCTGGTGTTTCTTGGCCTCTTGTTGGTGATTTGCTGAGACCATGTAAAGATGACTGATAAGAAATGGACACATCAGTTGATTGCCAGTGTGATGATGAAAAATGACATCAACATGATCCTTAGGAGAGGAACAGCCCCCTGTCTTTTCTCCCGATTTTGTCTTGAATATATGCTGTTCTGCTATTTAAGCTGTGCTAGCCCTATTCACTTTTCATGTGGGCAGAAAAGATCATTACCTGGGATTCTGGGAATGTTGTAAAATTGCTGTCATGTTCTGCAATTTTAGGCATGTTTCAGGGTACAGCCATGGATGAAGTATTCCTGGATAGGACACTCCCTATTCCCCAACACTAGCGCCGGCGACTTAGCGGCCGCCGGTGGCGGAGCGCCGAAACATCGGTGGCGAGTGCACCGGCGGCCGCCGCACCGGCGTGCGTGCTGAAAACGTATGGAGAGCGAAATTACCGAGCTTTAGCTCATAAGACACAGTCATTTCGAATGATTATTATGGCTTTATTTAGTCACGTCACTATCACATACGAAACCATTACCTGATGCCTATAAACTGAGCCGATATTCTTGACTTGCCGTTGCCGATGCAAACTATCGCCAAATATCATCGTTCCTCGGCAGTCAAACTAGTCCCTATTGATGATTTAATGTAAATATAAACTTATTTTCATGTTATCTCATAAAACTTAACTTTATTCTAACATTGGCTCTACTGCTGTAATCACGAACCTTCACTTGTCAGCAGAATTTAAGCGACTTTTAAAATTAAAACTGGGAAAATAATATTTTCAAGACATTCCTCAATTCCTGTTCTACCAGGTTCACAAAACTTTTCATCAAAATCGGTTACAGGTAAGCAATAAACGACTAAAGTATACAAAAAGACGCTCCGCCCATAGCACGCAATGCTAAAATGGCGCCAACGCCCTCGCCGTTGGAAAATCCGCCGCCGCCGCCGGGTGGTCGGAAAATCGGCGGAGTGTCCCATCCAGGAATACCTAATCTATGGTACAGCTTCTCCGCTTAGAGCATACAAAAAAGTTTAGCATAGGAGCGACAAGTGGGTGAGACTCCCACCAACAGCTAGCATAGCAATTGGATGTCTGTTTGCTTTCTTATGGCCTGGTAGTTCTTGAGAAGTGAATAGGTTGTTTTCAAAGTAATTTTATTGTTGGCTAGGCATCTATTGTGTCTTATCGGTCTCCCAAATGCATTTGAACTTGGGTGTGTCAAGGCTGCTTCTATCAGTTCTACCTATTGTTGCTGTCAGTATTCTTGAAGTCTACATCGAGCGACCCTAAGAAAGCCCCTCCTTTGTTACAAAAGCGGTTAAATTTTGCGCGAAATGAACCATTGTTGCTCCCTCTGCTCCAGAGTCAGCAGTATTCCGAGTAGCGCCTGCCTACCAGAAGTGCCGCCATGTCGTCCCGCACGTGTCAGCACTGCGGCTGCAGTGAGATCGACGTGGACGCCGGGCGCGGCGACGCCGTCTGCACCGGCTGCGGCTCCGTGCTCGAGGAGCACATCATCGTCTCCGAGGTGCAGTTCGAGGAGAACGCGCACGGCGGCTCGAGCGCCATCGGACAGTTCGTCGGCGCCGACGGCAAGGGCGCCAAGGGGCTCGCGGCCGGTGAGTAGTTGGGAGTCGCCGATTGGGGGGAGTGATGTTGAGGGAGCTGATGGATCGGGGACTCTGGCTGTATTAATTGCTTTCTAGTTTCTGGAGCTCAGTATTTGGAATGATGAAAGAAACTGATAAGTATCATTTGTAGTGAACTGATGCCTGCCGGATCATTGACAGATATAATCGATTTACACTGTCTTCATGTTATCTATGCTTGTGTCAATGAAGTATTTTAGCCTATATGGATCGACAATCGACATAGCCCATGGGTCAGATTCTAGATGGAGATATTAAAGCATAGACCTCTGTATACCTGTATGATTAAAGATATAAATATTAATTAATAGTAGCATAAATAGCATAAATAGTAGCATCACTCTGTATATCTGTATGATTAAAGATATAAATATTAATTGAAAAATCATAAGATATGCTCGAGTGACACAATCCCCTCAATCCCACACAATCGATTTATCATTGTTTACTTTACCTCGGCTCAGTAACAAAGCAGACGATAGGTTTCTTATAGCTGATCAGCAATTCTTTATTTTATCGAACTACATAGCATCTTGTTTTCATCCAGGTAGATCATTACCTAAGTTTTCTCTAACCGGCTTCATCTCGGGATGGAGCACCGCTCCCCTCCCGACTCCTCCCACCCGTCTGGCGAAGCCCCGTCTGGCCGTCTGACCTTGTGCCGCCTCCCACCGTGTTCCCACCCCGCCCGACACACTGCTACCTCCTGTCTTCCCCATCACCCCGCCCTTGTAGACCGTTCCCCCACCCCCACCGTCCGACTGACCGCAGCCACCGCACATCCGGCACGAGTGGTGTCCACCACCCCGCCGACACCTGCCGTGTTACGGAGCTCAATGTGAAACTGACCGGATACAGCCGTGTCTAACTAAATGACGTGCATGGTAGGGTTTCTGAATGAGGCTCAATTAATTAATGCTGATTTCCGTGATCGCCCCTGACTGGTCCAGTAATTTAATGGCCGCGCTCCAATGGTGAAGGCCATCCACTATGCGATGCACACCTGCAGCTGAGACGTGTGAAATATGAGTTATTCACGGGGAGTGTTTCGTCAGGGTTTTATCCTTTTTTTTAGTGACGACAGGATTATTGTAGCTTTGATTTTTCCATAATGCATTTGATGCGCTGCTTTACCGGAACGTGATCTTTGATATCACCGATGGGTGCCTCAGACCGTCGCAGTCCGGCCACCCCTAAACCCCAATAATGCTAGTTATCTATTGATTACAATGATCCACCTTTCTCTGCCGCAGGGTTTCACGCCGGTGCTCTAGGAAAGGAGTCCCGAGAAGTCACATTACGGAATGCGAAGAAAAAGATCAACTGGCTGGCTCAGCAGTTACGGTAATTCTACCCCTGAGCGACACCGACCGTAACTGATAAAGTTGTCATGGTATCATCTGGAATGAATCATCCTGTTTAGTCTTTTACGTGACCTGAGGGACTAGTTATATGTCATTTGAAGCTGTTGATTGGTAAAGGCTAGCTTTGCCTCACCCTTGAGTGACCTTTCATGTCGCTCTGCATCCGACGTCCGAGGCCAAGATAAATCAAATAAACATTCTCTTATTCATGGCGCTTGCTGTATGGGTCAATTGCCATTTGGTAGTTTCTTCTCACGACAACGAGCGATGTTTCTATTATTTCACGAACAACTTTTGAATTTAAATGGCAGTTGTAGCGTTTTACCCACTCAAGCCTACATTCGAGAGGTCTCAACTTGCTCTAAGTTTAACATTTTGCCAGCGATGTGTTTTGTCGTCAAAAAAGGTCTGATGAATGAGGAATAAGGTGTTCTAGAGTGCATCGTGGTACATTATTGCTTAAAAATCTTCATAGCGCTATTGGTACTCTGCCATGCATGACAGGGTGTATTTTCTGTTACAGACTGAACCAGCACTGTGTAGACACGGCTCACAACTTCTTCAAGATGGCGCTGTCCCGTGGTCTGACGCGCGGCCGGCGCAGTAACCAGGTGATCGGCGCCTGTCTGTACATCACGTGCCGCACCGAGGGCACACCACGTATCCTTTCCGGCAGGTGCCGCGACGCGTCACGGCGCTTCAGAGGGAGGAAGGCGGGTTATCGGTGTTCGAATGAATGTGACTACATGCATACTGCTTGGTTCTTCTGACGTCTTATGGATTGCATAATTTGATTCTAATTTGAGTTAGGTTGAGAACGGCGACAAGTGATTAGAATGACTGAATAATTTGATTACGTCAGTGAAACGCTTTTGATTCGAAATTGCTGTTCAACTTCGCTGATTTGACCGAACAAAACGTAGCTCACGCCTTGGATAGGCTATCTTATCAAAGTGCAACTTTTATCCAAGTTAATGGGCCAATGACGCTTTGACGTTACCTATCAGCATTTTTCGTTTCCCCCGCATGTATCATTGGCATGTATAACGGTCCTCATTAGATGACTTAAGTCGAGGGTCAGCAGTGTTGCTCGATTTATAGTTTTTTTTTTTATTCATCACCGATTCTAGCAAGCAGCAGAGCTAATTTTCGCCCTCCGTTCCGGTCGCCGATTTCTCAGCTCCGGACGTGGTGCAGTGATGTTATCACAGGCCGCGGGTTCCGCCGTGCCTGGGGCCACGTGGGGTGAGGGGTGGGTGGGTACTGAACGGCCCTAACAACGCGAGGGACGCATGAAACGACGTTTCGAGACTTCAGCGGGGACACTTAACCCGCGCCCCGGGGGGGGGGGGGCAGATTCTGCCCCCCTCCCGTTTTTCGCCAAGAACTTCTAAACGCGTTACGCCAACAACGTCAAACTTTCAGTACCTCATCATACATCAATTTGACACGTTGCCTGAAAATTTGAGCGAAATCCGTCGGAAAATTTTGAGAAAATGACGTTTTAGTGACGTCATGCTCGCCATTTTTGCCTCAAAAAACGGCAAAATTTCAAACGCCGCCAACATCTTCATTTTTAAAGGAATCAACACGTAACAAAAAAGGTTATACGTGATTCTACTTTGTCTATCAAATGGCTATCTCGGTTTTTTGAAAATTTTGGATTTTGGCCCAAATGAAAAAAACTGACTTTAGGACAATAATTATAAAAACCAAATTTTTGAGTGTATCAAAAAACCGGATTATACGTCAGAGAAGTGGTATATGTGCACTTACATACCAATTTTCAGAAGAATCGGTTCAAAAATGTGGGAGTTATTCAAAATTTTATGACGTCACGACACACAATTTTTTTGAAAAATGATTTCTTGGAAGTTCTAGACCTTGTATGGAAACCAAAATAGCACCATTCGATTCGCCGTGATAAACTACATCAGATAGACACCTTTTTAGGCCTTAACAACCAACCTCAAAATTTGACCTCACTTGACCTGACCTTAACCTGACATCGACCTGAAATTCATCCAGAGGTGGTCCATATCACTTATTGAGTGTGCCGCCTATAAAATCATATGAATAAAATGACCCATAAAACATGTGTCGCACATGCCCTTTTCTATATTTTGTTTTTGGTGACCTGACCTGACCTGACCTGACCTTGACCTTGACCTTTGAATGATATTGTATGTAACGAATATTGTCTTGGTAGCCTAAGAACACGTTTTGGGCAATCAGTCTCAGTCCATTCTTCGGCAACTACGGTGCAAGGCCGATAATGTAGAAACCTGCATTTTGTACCCTTGACCTGAACTTGACCTGACCTCTGACCTACTTAAACAAAAAATTGGGCTCTTAAGATCCGTCTTGTTGAGAGCTTTCGATTGCCGTTTTCCCCGTCTTTCTACGACCATCGGTTCGGAAGTTAGACAGGGGGGGGGCAGAATCTGCCCCCCCCCCGCAGCAGGGCGCGTATGGCTGAATAGTCCAGAGGGGCGTGGGTCAAAAAGCCAATCACTGTTTTTCTTTTGGCATTCAAACTGAAAATATTATCACTTCGTGATGAGATGGGCGACGATGTAGAACAATAGATCATGAATCATTCGCGCATGGTGTGCCAAATTTTTAGCCTGAAATGCCTCGTCAGGCAGGTCCGTCAGTATGGAAAAATGAAACATCATTTGATAGCAATCTCGGCATAGGCAAGGCACGCGACTTGTTCATTTTTACATTAAATATCTTGATTATGCATGCGTAGGCCTGATTAGGGACCCCTCTGATCTGGACGGGTAGACCAGTGTGTCGGCCGTGCGCCTGTGTGTGGTTGGCTTCCTTGACCGCGCCGCGTGCAGACATGCTGATCGACTTCAGCGATATCCTGCTGGTGGACGTGTGTGAGCTGGGGCGGACCTACATGGCGCTGGCCAACGCGCTCTGCATCAACATTCCCATCATGGGTGAGTACAGGGGCGCGCTAGGGCCCGTGCCTTGACTGTCCGCATCGGACACCCCGCCCTGCATATGTTCTCACCCTCAGTCTCACCAATTGGCATTTCTATTCTAGCTCAACCACGCACATACGAGTATCCCCTTATCATGCACAAAATAATGCCTTAATCGTAGACTAGATTTTGTATTATGCAGGTGCTATCCTGCTAATTCTTTATCTCCTTCATGCTGGATTGATTTGCTTATTATTAGCATTTATCCGTTAATCTACATTATGAACCGTAGATCATGTGTTGTTGATAATGATATTATTGTTGGCTATTTTACTATTGTATCATCAGTTGAAAAGTGGACCGCCATGGCAAACCCTACCTTATCGCACGATATTTTCTGAATTCTGGTCATCATTCTGTGATTCTCTTCAATCGAGTTCTCAGCTTTGATTTACTTATTCTTTGACGCCTTTCGATTTAGGAAGCCTTTACATAAACGTTTTGTTCCAATTCTTTAGCCCTGTTGTAAAGATACGTCTTCTCTTGACTTCCGATATTTTTATTTAGTTGGTTTCAGTTTCCTCATTTGTTGCTTTCAATTTGTTGAAGACGCCTTCATTCGTCAAAACTCTTCCTCGCTCTAACCACCCAAAAATAGCCGGTGCAGAGCAACGATGTCGCTCGTAAACTCGATGCACATCCAAGTGGGTTCTGCTCAGCATCGTTCGCTGGTGCTCGGGACACGTACCGCGTATTTCGTTCACCATACGTTTCCCGCAGGCCGGCATCGCTCAGGGCGAGGCTGTAAGTTGCCCGGGCGGCGCGCTTGCCGGTCACATTTTCATCAGGCGGCTCGCAGCTGGTACCGTGTTCCGTCGAGCTTTGTTGCCCTTCCGGCCCAGATCCCCGGTTGAAATACGCCACGATTTGTTGGCGAGATTGCTGTATTTATGGAGACAGATGTCCAGTTGCCCGAGCCGTAAACGTGACACGGCCGATCGACGCATCGGCAGCGAAATCGGCACGGCTGCCGCCGGCCCGCTCTATCAGATCAATAGGTCCGTGACCGAGCCGCAGAGTCACGGGCGTCACCGAACGTGACGGTGAGCGAGACGCCAGACGTGACGTCCGACCCAAATGAGGAACGATAAATATCAGCTCTGTACACTATAACACCACTCCCCCCGGCCCTATTGGGAGAGAGGCGGATCAAAACGCGGGCGATATACTCGTAAATGTGCTTCACCCATCACTATGGGCGACAGCGTAAAAGGATAAACCGGTAGGAATAAGTGGTCGGCGTGAACAACGATCAATCTGAACGTCACTCTCTGAATCCTATTCACAGACACACTCGGAGGAACGCTGAAGGGTTCAGCAAACAAAAATAGTCTCAGATCCACCCATTCGCCATCATTCGGCCACCACAGTTGCACATTATTCCATACGCGCGGTCGCTCCACCACTCATGTGCATTAGCACGGTCAGAACTTGTCGTTCCGCCAGTTCCTTGTGGTATTGTCGGTTTGTGGTATGGCACTCGCCCCGCTGGATCGGCCACGTTGTGTGGCCTCAGCCCTGCCAGTCCATAGTCAACAGTTCGTATCTCGAATATAGTCTCTCACTCGTTCACCACCCCGCGAACGGCGGGCCACTGCGCACCCGTCTGGAAGGTCGACGCTCCGCCGTCGTCCCGGCGCCGCCGTCCGCGCCGGCCCGCCGCTACAGTCTGGACTCCTCGGCGGGCGGCGACGGCCCGTAGAACATGAGCTCGGGGATCTGGCCGCCCTGCACGCCGGTGCCGTTGGTCGAGTCGGAGCTGCACTGGAACTGGAAGGTGACGGGCCCGACGGCCACCTCGCTCAGCCCCTCCTGGCCGAAGTAGGAGAGCTCGGCGCCGTCCAGCACCGCTGAGGCTGTGTAGTAGGTGTCCGGCTCCACCTGGGGGATACGCCGCGTTAAACCGGTGTCAACAAAAGGACTTATCTCTGATTCATCGAATGACTAAAGCAATGCTATCTACTCCTACACTATCAGATATCCTTTAGCATTACGTCAACTGTTGCTAAAAAAAAGCCGTGTGACAACCTTCACAATCGTGGACAAGTGCACCTCGCGCCGCGCTCTCACCTGGATGGGGTGTCTGAAATGCACGTGGAACGTGTTGCTGCTGCCGTCGGAGAAGAAGTGGGCCGTGTTCTCGGCCAGCACCCGGCCCAGCCGCTTCAGCTCCATGCGCACGCGGTAGTCGGCCGCGCCGTTGGACGAGCCGTACAGGCCGAAGCCCACGATGAAGATGCGCTTGTCGACACAGAACTGGATGCTGTCGCAGCGGCCGCGGTAGCGCCACTGGTTGCCGCGGTAGGCCGACGACTGAAAACGGTGGCACACCTGCAAAGGGAGATGGGGTTGTTAGGAGACTGCTTCTCATAATCATGTGGCGTGGTTTCGGAGACGAACAATCCGGTGTTTATGCTGCTCCTCTATCGGTACGTCACTAGCGCTGAGCGTAATTATACAATCGATCTCTTTCAAGTCAAGTTCATTGCAGCGCTAGATTGTTTGTAATTTTAAGCGGCAATCATCCGCGCTGCTCACCTGCGCCTTCAGTCCGGTGCGCGGCACGGCCGACAGCTCGATGGCCGGCTTCTGTTTGGCCGTGTAGTGCAGGAAGATGTCGGTGGTCTCCTGCAGTGTGAGGATGCCGGACTGGGCGGCCGTGTCGGCATACTCCTCCAGACTCATGGCCGGGATCCGTATCAGGTACAGCACGTCACCCAACGCCTGCGGGTGGACGGGCAGAGGCGAGTCAGCTCGCTGCAGCTGCGCCGGTGGCTTGCGTATAGAACATTATTGATTTGAATTATATTTGCTAATTGACCATCTCGCAATTTCTCAGACAAGCAATTCTTTGTGCAAAATGTGCCAGCTCCATCATGATTTACATCTTCGCTCTGTCCTATCGTCTCACCTCTCGCATCTTCTCCGGGGTGGGGTGGTCGACGCCGCGCCTCTGGCACTCCTCGCGCGCCCAGCTCAGCGCCGCCTCGAACACCACCACCTCCTTGCAGTTGAGCGTCTCGCGCGCCAGCACCGACTTCAGCGTGTTGTGGTCCACCTCGGTGAAGCCCTCAGAGCGTAGCGCAACCTCCGCCTGCGGGAAACAGCGACAAAATGGGTCACATGCGTGCATCGGTGTCGCCATTGGCGAAGACATTCGTAACTAATTCGTTCGATGTTTGGAGAGGGCATGATGTGAAATACAGCAACTCAGTGGAAGCTCATCAGCTAATACCGTTTCTTTTTGCTGATGACTACAAACTGAGCAGTGCCGGTGTCCACGTCAATCTAATCTGCCTGCAAGTCATACCTGAGCGTCGATGATCTCCCAGCAGCGCTGCATGAGCTCCGGCTCCTCGAATAGCCGGCTCTGGCTGAGCAGCAGACACGCGTTGCCCGCCGTCAGGCTCGTCTCCAGGTAGCTGACGCAGGCACGCGCCAGGAACGGCACGATGTATTTTTTGGCAGCGTACAGTGTGGCCAGGACGGTGTCCGCCTCCGGGAAGAACTCGTCCGTGTACAGATACCTGACAGAAAAGGCGCATATTGTTGTCACTGGTCGACTTACAAAACCTTGTGAGGAAAGTTACTGTGTTTTGAAGTGGATTATAGCCAACGCTTTAATGAATCCCGTCAGGTCGAGTGAATCGAGTCAGGTGGAGTGATGACAGCGGAAACGATCTAAAACCTAAAACATCTCACTCTTCTCCTCACCGCAGCATGACGAGGAAGGCGACAGGCTCGACGTCGGGCACCTCGATCTCGTCCTGCTCGTCGGCCAGTCCGCCGTAGAACATGGCGTAGAACACGGAGCTGCCCGTGGCCAGCACGTACTTGTGCGCTGGGATCCGCTGCGTGGCGCCTGCAGGGCACGACAACGCGGTCAACGGACGGACGGATGCAGTGGAGTTGGGGTATCAAGGAGGGTATCGTGGCCTCGATTTACAGTGATGAAGGTGAACTTACAAAATGAATGTTAACTTGCAAAACTGACAGCTTATTATTGACGTTGACATCTGTTGGACAGGAAGGGATAAAGTGTTGATCATTTATTCGTTGTTGGCATTCTACGTCCTCCGGACCACACATTGGCACACTTGTTGGCCGTCCTGCCACTCTCTGCCCGTGCCGGCTCACCGGGCGGTCCGGCCACAAAGTGCACGTCGGCCATCAGCTCGTTGTTGAACATGGCCGCATTGCGCTCGCGCAGGCTGGCGCGAGTCGCCTGCCAGTTGGGGTCGCTGGTGGAGGGCACGGGCGTGGGCGAGAGGCAGTGCGGTCGCGCCGCCGGCGAGCCGGGCGAGGTGGGCGCGCTGAACGGCTGCTGCACCTGGACGGGCGTCTCCGGAGAGTCGGCCGGCGCCGGCGGCGGCGGAGACAGGTTCCCGCCCACATTGCCGTACGCTGCGGTAGACGAGCCAGAGGTCAACGGGAGAACGTGGAGGACAGGAAAACGACACCTCCTGGCATTGAATTAGCAATTTAGTATGACGACACAACAGCTGGCATTGAACTAGTAGTTTTAGTACATTCATTGGAATGGGCCCATAGATTATGCATCACGGTTCCTTCGAGCACGAGATCCGGCCCCGGGACTACAGAGCATCTCATTATGGTGTTTTCTATGATTGTCCTATCATACCTTCACTTATCCTTCAACAACGTGGATATCTGATTTCCTATATGCGTGGCGGCATTTCCCCTCTTTAGACTTGAAAATGCAATGTTTTCACCTGCACAAGGTAGGAAATTAGTAGACAACGCTTCAAAATATTTACAAAATGTTTAAAAACGGTGTTTAACTGGAGAATCTGTTCTTCACCACGGGATAAATATGAATACACCATAACAGTGTACCAAAATCATATTTTTGCTTGGGTGTCAGAGGGGAAAATTGCTGACCAAAAAAAGGATGAGTGAAAATTGTCGGTCAGGTAAGGCCCAAAAAGAGTGGGAAAATGATCAAAAACATTAATCTATCTACAATTGTGACAGATGTAAAACAACCATTCCCGCAATTGCTCCTTCTCGGTGGGATTGGGAGTGGAAAATTGGGCTTGAAAACTGGAGGTGAGAGTGGAAAATGATTTGCATTTTGATGTCGTTTCCCACCCACATCTACAAATTTTGGGACACTGCACCATAAGTGGCTGACCTCAGGCATTCAAAAATCACTTCCTACTTTCTTTTTACACCGGTTGGAAAATTTGTAAGCCTGTTAGTCTTATAGAGTACAATTTATTCCATCTTTTTTGGATAGTTGATAGTCACTGGCTGTGCAGATTCCAAGGTTTGATAGCTTATGTCTGGTGAGCTTATTCTGAAGTCAGGTTTGCGAGTTGGCTGCCTTTCCAGCCAGGGTTGGATAAAAGCCGGCTTAAATTGAATTTATGCCAGCCAGTGGTTTAAACCGGTTTAAACCGGTTTAAACCGGCTTAAATTAATAAAAACCACCTTCAGTCAAAACATCTACTATAGCTTATCTTGTGGGTCAGTGTACTCGTTGGTGACTGTGCAGAGTCAGCAGGAAGTCAATCATTTGGTATTATGTCAACATTTTGGCATGTGATTATGTTGACAATCTGGTCAGTAGGTAACTAAGCTAAGAAACAAAGTAGGTATAAGGCATAAGCACATTCTTATCTTAACATTCGGTTTACCAGTTGAAAGTCTCACTTTATTTTACATGTAAAATGTATTCTGACCTATTTATATACACTGTGTTCTGACCAATCGTCTGGGGACTGGGCCAGTAACACTAGAAAAAAAAAATTATTTATCATTGTAGGTATCACCCATTCTGTGTTTTTTTTTTCAATTATTGCACAGGAAATAATGGTAACAACTCATTATTTATAAATCTTCTGAAATGTTCCTATGGTTTGTGTTTTTTCAGGTAGTGCATGTTGTTTTCTTGGTATAACAGTGTCCCTGACTAATCACACTTATTATTGTTTTTTACATGAACTTTGGAGCCTATAATGGTGGCCGTGCTGTCAATTCCTTTGTTTAGTGTCACTGACTGCTTAAGCAATAGACAGTTCCCTAGTAAATAGGCAATGTTCTGTATGATAGTTCTTAGGCCTTACCATTCACTGATCCTTGCACCATGCATTTGGCATTAGGTCATGTTTGCTACAGCTTCTCATAAAATTGAAATTGGCTTCTTTATTGAAGCTGTCTTAAAGACTTTTCATTCCATATACCACCCATGCCATGTAAGCAACTAGTTGTGTAAAACACTGCAAATCAAAATAAACATTTGATACAGGGGATACAGATCAATAATGAATGACATTATGTCAACCCCCAGGAAAAAAACATTACAAGTTAGCATGTATAATTGAAAGGTGTGTATAGAAAATGTGAAGAGAAGAAGCAGTTTAACCCAAGTGATGTTACGACAAGTTAACGTAAGTGGCTTTTATTATGTTTGTGCACACTGGTTTAAACCGGGGTGGCTTAAATTAGTTTATGCCAGCCGGTTTAACCCTCGCCCGCACATGCCATTTTCCCATCCTAGAACGCACATGGGGGGGGGGGGGGTGGTTGCCACCCCCCCCCCCCCGCGCCATTTCGTTCCTGTTGGAGATAGAGCTTAGCGGTAAAGACCAAAAAGATTCTTTGGGAAGAGACGAATCCATTATTGACCAGTTTTACCTTCTCAGGTCAGTCATTGACCTTCCAGGTCAGGTCAAACTAAAAAATGTTGCTGTTTTGGGTCACCGTTGGATATCAAGTGCGCTGCTTATCATATACCGATGACGATGCTGTTTTCTGGTGCCAAGCCAGCTAGAACCTCTTTGTCACACTACCCGACCAGATTTTTGCTGCTGAGGTCATCTCAGGTCAAGTTAGGTCAAGGTCAATTATATGTGTTTGTATGTCTGTTTGTGTCTGTGTGTATACTGATGTGTGCACCGACTGTTTTTGTGTCCATATTACATGAAATCATGATCTGAGAAGCTGTTACCAAAAATGCAGCCAAAAAACTTCACAAAAAGTAAATTCAGCTTGCCTAAAACGCAATTATCTTAGATGACCTAGGTTGACCTTGACCCTGACCTTGACACCTGTACATCGTCGAACAGCATGTTCCATGATAGGTGAGAGGTAAGACTGGCAAAAACGGCCGAAATCAAGGTGTCAAAAGCTCACAAGGCCCATGGCAAACGCAAGATGTTCAGAATTGGCCATTTGGGTCATGACATGACCTGAAAAACAAGGTCATATCTCCGAAACCAAAAGTCACAGAAACTTGAAATTTTCAGTGGACATCAAGAAAGGATAGAGGAGCAGCTATACGAAAAATCAGCCTTCTAGCTTTAAAAATGTTGAGTGCAGAGCAGAAAGACTACCTGGGGGGCTGGCAACCACCCCCCCCCCATGTGCGGGCGAGGGTTAATCCATGGATTAAACCGGTTTAAACCGGCTGCTGGCATAAATTTGCCAACCCTGTTTCCAGCCCATTATGACATTTTTGTCTTGAGGTATTTTTGTGTACAGCTTGAAAAGCTTGAGTTTGGATTGGATCCCAAATGGATCTCTGGATCGGATCCAAATGATTTCAGCTTTGTACCTATGGTCATTGTGCTCATCGGACCTTAAATGCCTATGTGCAGTAAGTACCCAGGCTAGGTATTAAGCTGAGTTCAAACTACAGAACTGCTGCATCAATTAAAGACATGATGCAAAATGTACAATTTTTGCTAAGGCAGATACACTGGCTAATAAATGCCCTGATAAATGTTTGTTTTCAACAAGTGACCTTGTGATGTCTTTTTGTATGGTTTGACCGCTCCAGCATTTATCAGCTAATTTTATGCTTAGTTTGCATGCAGCTTTAAGTTGACACTTTCTCTTGTCAATTTGAATTTAAACTGTTGAAAGAAAATTCAAAATGACCCAAACTCAATGGTATGTAGCTGATTAAGTCTTGGTCTAGGCGGCAAATATGGCGCGCTTTCGTCTACCAACCATTTTCCCAGGCTACCGCTTGGGTTATTTGCAGATTTTCCATGATTTGCTGTTTCACTGGTTTGCTAGCCATTCTTCACCTATGCTCACTGCTATTCAAAGAGCGATTCATTGAGAAAGAAAGACAAAACACTCAAAATGCCCCACCGCTTATGCCATCTGTGTTACTGATGGCAGCAAGTGCTGCCATATGGTCCAGTTATATTTGTGCCAAAATAATCAATATAAGCCAAGATTGGGCTTGGCGAATTTTTAGGCGGAATATCCAACAATTTTCGTTACATTAACCCGGTTTACATAGCATATTTGACGAGGCTCTAGCTCGTTGATTTGGCGATAATTTCGTTGCAGTGGTCTTCAAATATTTAGAGGGGATCATTTTGTAAATTGTTAAGCACCATTGGCATCTTTTGCAACATCACGGACGGAGATATAAGCTTGCAACAAACCCTATGTAAACCGGGTTATTGTGCAATGACCATGATGTAACTGTCACTAACTTGTTTCCCTTTTGATGGTAGGTAATAAATATCATTCAAATATGTTAAGATTCACATTTTCTGTGAAGTTTTCTCCAACCAATATAGATAGGTTGCATCGTGCGAGTCCGTGAACAGTTGATAACTTGCGTCCTTATTTTTATGTTGCGGCCGAAGAAGGGCGCCCCCCCCCCCCCCCTCTCTCCCTATAACCCATTAAACCTTTGCCATTTTGAATATATTTTTTTAACGTTTCGGCTTTGCTACTGCATGGAAAGAAATTGTTACCCGACCATCAACAAACCCCACCTTTCTGTTAGTTCCCGGTATCCCTCAGCAGGAGCCCTCCAGCATGCCTGATGTCGCATCAAATACCTGACTCCGCGTGGGAGCACTTTTTAGGAGGGATTGGAGGCATATGTAGCTCTAGCCCGGTCTTGAATGAGCTGGAGCTGGTTCTTTCTGGTGCTGATGCATAATGTCTCCCCTATGTGGTGTTCTGTTATCTCACCCCTCCACGCTGCCTTCCCCCACCCTCCTCTAACCCACCCGGCGCCATTCACCTGACCCCACCCCTCCCGTCCGGCAGACCCGTGCGTGTATATACCTGACCCACCCCACTCCCCTCTCGCCCGGCAGACCCGTGCGTGTACGTGCTGCGCTACGCCAACAAGCTGGAGCTGGGCTCCAAGACGCACGAGGTGTCGGTGACGGCGGCGCGACTGATGCAGCGGATGAAGCGCGACTGGATCCACATGGGTCGCCGGCCGTCGGGTCTGTGCGGCGCCGCGCTGCTGATGGCCGCTCGGCTCCACGGCTTCAACAGGACCGTGGATGACATCATCAAGATCGTCCGAGTCCACCAGAGCACCGTCAAAAAACGGTACGTGCTGTGGGAGCTGAGTGGTTCGGCGGGGAGCGTATTGTAGGTAGCGTTTGGGTGAGGGAGGTTATTAGTTAACATTTATTACTTTTGTGAGCTATGAACAATAACTGAGGTCATCGCCGAGAATGTCTGCGATTCGCGGTTCAATTGCCTTTGGCTTCTTGGCTGCAGAGACTTGAGTTCCAGTTGGATGGTTCTATCGCCACTTGAGAAGCATAGTGTGGAATGAGGTCGCTCGAACCGTATCTCGTCACACCGTCTGCCGCCTTCCACCCGGTCTGGCCACCGCGACTCTGACGTCCGCGACTCTGACGTCCGTGACTCTGACGTCCGTGACTCTGACGTCCGTGACTCTGACGTCCGCGACTCTGACGTCCCGCGGTGTGCCCCGGCAGCCTGTCCGAGTTCAAGAACACGCCGTCCTCCTCGCTGACGGTGGAGGAGTTCATGACGGTCGACTTGGAGGACGAGATGGACCCGCCGGCCTTCACAAAGTCGCGCAAAAAGGATAAGGAGCGCATCTCGCAGGCACGTGCCGTCATCGACCTCGGCGTGACTGGGGTACAGCGGAGACGCCGTTGGGGTTTCAGAGCCGAGGGGATCAGAGTGGGGCTGGTTGGTTATTGCTGCAGGGTTACTCTGAATGGTGGTTTAATTTGATGAAACCTTGTCTTGCTCTATGGCATGCCTTGACGTCCTGGCTTGCGAGACTGTAGATTGATAAATCATTACGAGTTGCAAGGTTGTCTGCAGTCTCTGTTAATTAAAATTATTTCTTTTTATTATATATATATAATTAATTATAATTAATCTAATTATTTAATTTATATAATATATAGTATTCCGGCTTCGATTGCCGAGGTCTGTTGCAAAATAACGTTTATGTAGTGGTTAGAAATTGCTGGCTGTACTTAAAGATCGAGTTCCTAACTTCCTAGCCCTGTCAAATAGTAGTGTCGAATTATGTTGAGCGAGGCAGGGAATTTAGCAGAAGTTTACTCAGTTCCGGTACGTTACAACGCTTTCGGTCGTGTTATATTTATTGTACATGACAGTTGTCCGAACTTGTGCCGAACTTCGCGCTCTGACCGAACTATTTTGTGCAGCTCAACGAGGGGGACGTGGCGCTGGAAATACAGGCGCTACGAGTTGAGATCGACAAGGAGCTAGAGGATCGAAAAAAGCGATTACGAGGCACATGGAACAATCCAGTCTGTGAGCCAGCTGTGTTACGCGCTGTTTGATAGTGATGTTTTGGTGTGTAGTAATCAGTTGGCAAATCGATAACGATGGAGCCATCAAGCATATATTGCAAATTGATCTTTTTCAGCTATGCATTTTGCGTACTTTTGCGCATTTTATGGACAAGAAATGATCATTTACTTTTTAAGCTGCTCATGTGTTGAAAATACAGAGCATTTCTATTCAACAAAGCTGTCTTGTATTTGACAGGACTGTGTCAGGCTGTCTGCTACTCTTCTGGCAAAGATTATGAATCATGAGCTTGCTCCCAAACCGCCCAACCACTCAAGTTTCACCTCGGTATCCTATCTCCCCTGAGACCCCTTTGCGATTTTCGCTCCCACCCTGACCCCCCCCCCCCCCTCCGGACAGCTGAGGACAGCCCGCCCGAGTCCCCGGGCCGCGAGTCGCAGGATGCGTCACTGTTCGTCCAGGAACAGACGCTGGCCTCCATCCGCGATATCGCCGGCGACGACATCGGCCCCGTGGGTGACGCGGCGCTCATGCCGCCGCCACCGCCGCCCGCCATGAACGGTATGGACTGCGGCAGGGCCTTGGCGGCGTGGGAGGTGCTTAAAGGATTACATATACGCGTTCTGAGCTATAGTGGCTGTATAGTTAGTTAGCTGTGTACTAAACTTTCGTTAGCGCGTTAGTTTTCTATAAATGCTGAACACCACCCGTGGTCCTATTCGTACTTATGGTTTTTGTTTGAAACGAAACCGATCTTGAAAGTTTTATCTTCGAGCTGCCTCGCTAAGATATTTTTTTTTCTAAAAAGTGACATCACTCTAGGAAGTTTCCGACGCATTTCCCATTCACGTGTCCGTCCATCTGCCCTCTCTCTCTCAGAGGAGCCGACGCCGCGCGGCGCCGAGCACGGTCTGGGGGTGAGCCGCCACCTGCTGGGGCTGACGACCACACCCGGCGAGGACCCGTCGGCCGCCGCCGCCGCTGCCTCCGACCAGGAGAACGCCAGCAACGAACTCGACCTGGAGGGCATCGACGACGCCGAGATCGACTCGTACATCATGTCTCCGCGCGAGATCCACTTCAAGACCAAGCTGTGGATGAAGTTGAACGCTGACTTTCTGAAGGAACAGGCCGGTAGGTGGTGGTTCGATATGACGGTTGGCAGAGGAGGCGACGGGTTTCCCACCGCTGGGGATTCATGGTGTTTGGTTGAAGGTTTAGATGTACGTCATACAGACAACCGAGGACCTTTTGATGAGTAATTCTGGAAGCGTAAATTTGTCTTTGCTTTTTGTGTTTACATGGTTTTACGAGTTGATTTTTGTGCTTCGTTCGTATCTTGACGTGCTATTCCAAGCAGAAAACGTTGTGCAGCTCGTCAGTCCTCATTGCCTCATTGGTGTTATCATTGGACTTAACACGAATGTCTCTCGCCATGAACTCTCCGAGAAATATGACGTTGATACGGCCTGCGGGCAGAGCTCAGATAGCTCTGATAGGCAGAATGAGCGGCGCGGTGGCGCGTGCGTCCCGTCCCGTGATCTCATTAGGTAATGAGCCGCCATGAAGAGTGCTGACTCGGTGACATGGGAGCACGACATGACAGTGCCGCCGTCCTTTTATAGCGCTTGTTCACGGAGTCATTAGGGTAATGGTAATTAGCATCCTGTCAGTCTGACAGTGCCGGCTGTGTTCGGTCATATGGACGGGGTAAAAAGGCGATGTTTTGTACCTGGTGTGTGATGCCATGTTATGCACTGCTAAATGCTCATGGCATGTTCGATAATTTAAAGGGACTATCCCACCTTCTAAAATGTTGTTAAAACCAGTTAAATTGTGCCCGACTTTATAGATTGGATGACCAGGAACACGGTTCTGGCATTTATTTTTCATTAAACATCTTAGGCTTCCCATATTCCAAACACAAACTTTCAAATATGTGACGTCACAGCCCAAAATTACCTCCTTCCCCAGGCCACATTACTGTCATAAAGCTGATTCTTTTTACTCTGTAGGCACCGCAACAAAGTTCAGACCAAGTTTTAAGCGATTTTTCAACGAACAAACCCATTTAAATCAGAATGACTAAAGGAGGTGACGTCACCCTAACGGTCGCTCCATGTTGAAGATAGGGCCTTGCGCAAGGCCCATTTTCAAATGAAGGGAACGAATTTCTTCAACACCAAGAGGCCGCGGGGGTTGCAGCCTAGATAGATAGTGGTTTCTGAACCTCGCCGCAAACTTGGCTATCTCTACTCAAACCCCATGTTAAAGGTGGGATAGTCCCTTTAGGGTAGCATTACATGGCTTTTTTAACTCAATTTGATGTAGAGTTAATTATTATGCCGCTTTTAACATTGTATTGTATTCAGACACCCCGTTAACTTGTTTCCTTTCACTTTTCTGATGTTTTTTTCACCTTGTGAGTGAGCTATTCGACACAGCTCATCTCAGCTTTAGTTATTTGTCTGTTCAGCCTTTATGCTGCTACCAAACATATCATGTCTCTTCTTTTCTGACCTTCTCTCCTCCCACCACAGAGAAGCAGAAGCGCGAGGAGGAGGAGCGGTTACAGCGGGAAAAGGAGGGGAAGCCCGAGAAGAAGAAGCGCCCGCCGCGCCGGAAGCGCAACACCAACCTCTCGGCCAACACGGCCGAGGAGGCCATCGAGAAGATGCTCCAGGAGAAGCGCATCTCCAACAAGATCAACTACGACGTGCTGCGCGAGATCACCGGCGGTGGCGTCAAACAGGAGGCCAAGCCCGAGGTCAAGGTGGAGGTCAAGCCGGACATCAGCGAACTCGTCATGCCCTCGTCACGGTAAAGACGGCGGGGGGGAGGGACAAGGCAGGTCCGTTGGAGTGCATGTGATGCTGGTCGGAGAGGCTTATCATTAATTGGCGTGCTATGACGACCAGATGACGATCGGTGGTGGCGAGTTCTTAGTTCTTTCATGTGTAGACAGGGAGTGACCATTGTCTGTCGTGTGTATAACGACGTTACTTGTCTCTTCGAGACGGATTGATTTGTTCCCAACTGGCATGAGGCCTCGCGTCCAACGAACTACTGGCAATTTAGAATGTTTTCGCTTATATGTCTATATTTCTGAGACGTACTTTTTGCATCCTCAGGTTGTGTGGTTTTGTGTAGCTGTCCTGTGCGTCGAGTGATGGACCTACCCACGTGAGTCTCACCGTCCCCTCCCTGTCTCCAGGAAGCGGCACCTGTCGAGCAGCGAGCCGGTCGGCGCCGGCCCGTCGCGGTTCAAACGGCAGCGCCCGGCTCCCGTGCTGCCGGGCCGGCCGGGCCGCGCTGCCCCGGAGCCGGAGCCGGAGCCGGAACCAAAGCCGGTGGACGAGTCCGGACCGGTTGTGGTGGAGTCCGGGCCCGTGGTGGTCGAGTCCGGACCGGTGGTGGTCGAATCCGGACCCGTGCAACACGAGGACGGTGAGAGCTGGGAGGGATCGGGGTGCAGTGTGTGTACTGTGAGGACATCATGGGAGGTGTGTTTGAGCAGCTAGCAGGTCACGGCGGGTGGACAATGTTGGAATTGCCATTTATGGTCCTGGTCCCGGGGAATAAAATTGTTCCGGAGAACCACCCAGTTTAAAAAAAAAAACAGTAAAATCATATGTTTGGCCTACGAAATGTGAAAGCTGATAAATTGTGTTACTCTCAATGGTATTTCTGCATATTTTAGGTGTGCAGCCCTCTGCAAACTGCGTGGTAGGTATTCTTTTTTCGACAAAAATGAGAATAACGCGAATACTATGCTATCGGTCATTCGGAAATCGTAACAGCAAGACGCGCTAGACCCCGCCCCTTAGATTGGCATCATCAGCGTATCCATTTTTCATCTAGTTCGGCAATTAAACCCAAAAGTTTATATTTGCCCCCAAAACAAACTTTTGCATTTTGTCGCCACACAAGGCGTAAACTTTGTTTATTGATAAACCTAATCGAAGGAGTGGAGCATGGCGCATCTATTTGCAGTGAGTTCCGACCGACTGATAACATAACCTTTGAGTTATTATCGGTTTTGTCGAAAAAAGAATACCTACCACGCAGTCTGCAGAGAGCTGTACCTAATAACAACAATTTTTTATCACAAAGGCTGGAAAATTTAGAAGATGTCGGGCGCCAGAGTAAAAATTTGTAGAGGAGAACAAAATTTTTTGGACCCGACTGGGACCAGCAAAGGGTCTTATTTCCAACATTGCGGGTGGAGCTGGGAGTTGACTGGCATATGATGGACCATAACTGCAGAGGACATTTCTTTGTGTTTATTAATTTCAAATTGATATTATTTATTTGGATGAACGGATTAAGTGCTTGAAACATTTCACCTATACTGCGTTCGTTGAGCCTATTTTAAATGCCAGCAGGCAGCAAGTTCACTTACTGTTTTATCTTAGAAATTAATTATCTCTCTTCATTGCTCGACAGACCTACGTCTTGTCTCCGTTCGAATTTATTTGTCGCTCCCACTTTACCGTGGCCCTCCACTGACCCGCTGTCGACTTCCTTCAGACGAGGACGAGGGCGATTACGAGGAGGAAGATACGGGAATGCTGTCCGCCGCGCAGCTGCTGAGCCAGCACGGTGGCGACGACTACGGCGGCTACGACGAGGAAGAGTACTACTAGTACCTCCCGCCGGCCACAGGTGGCACCACCGGCGCCAGCCGGCCAGTAGGGCGCCGATCAGGGCTGGTCGGTCGGCTGAATTTCTTCCGGTTCGTGCCTAGGGTTGAGATAGTTGGTATCAAAGACATGCCTTTAATCAGTGTTTGTCTGTGATTAGGTTGCGTGAGCTGTTAATATCGGTGGGATTATTTCAGGGGTATGGGTTTTTGTTTTGTAAACTTGCAATTGACAGATACATATGCTGGACTGGTACACTTTAGGAACTTCTCCAGAGTATTAAAAGTGCTTGATGAACCAAAACTGCGTCACTGTGCTAGGCGTTGAACGATTCATTGTGTATCAGGTTCTGTGTGTCTGGCTGCTAGCTGGGCTGTAGTGACGGCTAGCAGGGCTTAGTATCTGCTAGCTGGGCTGTAGGGGCGGCTAGCTGGGCCGCAGGGGTGGCTAGCAGGGCCGTAGGGGGCGGCTGGGTTTTCGTACGTCTCTGCAGATCTGCACAAAAACCAGTTGCTAAATGATATTATGGTGCTGTGCGAATGTATTGTCTGTCCTTGCTGAACGTGTAGCGCGCGTGTTAAACTCGCTAGCGTATCCGTGTGTGGCGCATCGCTGAGAAATTATTTATTGCATGACTGAAAACTGCTAATGCGTTGGTGATGAAGCGCTCAGTTGGTGTAAAATGCTTACGGACCTCTGCGTTCTACTTGGAACAATCTCGTATCAAACTGAACAGGTTCCTAGCATTATAGACGTGCTCTTTCAATTTCCTACAGCAGATATAGTTTGCTCGCATTATATTATGTTCTTCTGGCCAGATTTCTCTCCCAGTAATGGTTAGCCAAGGTACACTCGCTCCATCTACGTTCGCTGTCTTGGCACATTGCCGAAGTGTGTATTATGCTGCCATTTCGCTATCGGGACTCGAGATGTCCCGGAGAGAGTACAAATGGTTGAGAGAGATTCGGTTGGGGGCTGCTGATTGTGCACTTTGTTTCGCCGGCGGACGCTCCGTGGATCTGTACCTACGGTGTACAATGTGACGGTGGCGGACCGACGGGCCGGCTAACCCGCCGTTAGGCCTCCATGCTACAATACACGGGAATTTCGCTGATGCGATAGTCTGTATTCACGTTGCTGGCAGCATTTGTGTTTTGGAACGGGGTGAGGCGGAGGAGAGGGGCTCTGACCTCAGCACAGTGGCTACATGTTGTTTTCTGTGTCGGTCTCTGGAGTTCGGGCACGCCTCCAACGATCTCTGCTTTTGGTGGATGAAGGCGAAGCATTCACTGAAATGATCTGATGTGGAGCTCGTGCGCCGCTGTCATATTTGGGGGACACCATTTCGTATAAATCCTTGGACGTGTAGGTTGAAGAAAAGAACATATTTTTCTTCAGACACGGACACGGTTATTTTGAGAAAGTATTAGAAAAGTGAACGAGTTGCACAAAATTAGGCATCATTGGACATTGACGACCAATTGCGCGAATCGTGAAAGCTAAGGGAAGACTTGTAGATTTGCAGCCATTATATCTAAAACAAATTAGTGGTCGTATTTTTACATCTTTCGAGTGACATACATGATGCCGTGCATATTTACGTCTGGACAACGAGTTGCGGGGAAAAGTGCTGATTTTGTCGCAGTTTTAGGAGCCGGTGATTAGGCTGGATTTTTAGGTTACTTTTTCGTTCCGATTCCTGTATTTCATAGTGTTAAGCTTTTAAATATTTTAGTTCTCTCAGAAAAATATTACTTGCCTAATAGATTTGGTTAAATTGTTTCATTTTTATAAGCCGACCGCTAGAGTCATAAAACAATACATCAGCACTACAATTATTGTAAACAAACAAATGGAGCACCGCTTGGCTCTGTTCCAAAAGGCCTTTTTCAAGTTCATCTGGTGTTTTCGTACTCGTGTACGTCGTTTTGTTGGAAGTTTCGGATCCCTTGTGATTGAATTATACGCGTATCATATTAAAGAAACATGTTGACTGAAAACAATTCCAAGTATCCAGGAGGCTAAGGCTCCAGAGTCCTGACTCCTGAGCCCTGAGCAATATCAAGTTGAATTTAGGAAATGTTGGTTGATAAACGCAAGTTGGTCTGGCTCACTTATCAGCAAGAAAAAGTAAAATTAAAAGAGCTTATTGGTAAAAACAAGCTATACTATTGCAGGACATCAATACTGAAGAGCACGCTGAGCAATATCAAGCCAGAAAATGCTGGCTGGTGAACGCATATTGATGTATTGGTGTGAATATTGAATTATAACTTACAACAGCAAGATTAATTTGTGTTAACTATCAAGTGAAAAAATATAGAGTGAATGAACTCGGGCAGCTTTACTTTGCAGAATGGTAATGTTGTAATGTGCATTACTCAGTGTCTGGCAAGAAACACACAATCATTCCATTGCTACTGGAGGAGACAGCTTGCCACTTGGATCACTAAATCAGCTTGATGTTTAATTTGATGTTCATCATTACTTTGCATTTCTTGAAAAAAAGGATTTAAGAAGAATTGTCAATGTGACAAATACAATCCATGCAACGATGTGATCGTATGATGTGTTCATAGTCATGAGTGATTATTGGTCCAATATACAATAGCAAAGCTGTCAGCATTTCTTTCTGTGGATGGCCAGAAATGACTCAGAACTTAGAAGTATTAGTTTTCTTCACAGGGCTGGGATAAAAAGTACTGAGGGTAATCTTCCAGCAAGGAACTTTATAGTTTATTTTGACTTGGTATGAGATGTAGGCACAAGTAGGTACCCAGCTAACAGGAAACGTTAGTACAACGTTGTCACAACGTCCTGTTTCGGTAAGTTGCGAAATTACGTTTTAATTACGTTGTAGCAACGTTCTGAACGTTGTGAAGCCATGGTTTGGTCCGAAAGTTGTGGTAAAACGTTGTGACAACGTTTTATTGGTACGTTGCAGCAACCGCGCACTTGCAATATTATATTTTGATAATGCATGGTGACATATATGGCCATATAATGCATTTCCTTTGACTTTCAATGCGCATTTTCAGATTTCATCGTTAAATTTGACGTTTTAACACTAGGGCTGTTCACGTTGTCAGCTGGTGGTCGCCAACACGTTGTTAAAACGGTTTGTCACAACCTTGACATTATAGGTATTAGGTACTGAATAACTAGCGGTGTTTTTACAAGTAAATTCTGATACCTCTCTCTCTCTCTCTCTCTCTCTCTCTCTCTCTCTCTCTCTCTCTCTCTCTCTCTCTACCTCTCTCTAATATATATATATATATATATATATATATATATATATATATATATATATATATACATATATAACATGTTTTAACACTGCCAGTCTTTGCCTTAGCGCTCCGGAGTTAGTATGGTTTCGGACCGCCAAGTCCGGCACAAATCCGGCTCCCTGCCACCCAAACAATATGCCCGGTTACATAGCATTTTTGTCAGGGCTGTTAATCACTTCTTCTGCGATAATTTTAATGCAGTACTTTTCGTATATTTAGATGAGATCATTGTGTTAATTGCAAAGCGTCATTGGCATGTTTTGCAACATCACAGGCGGAGCTAGAGGCTTGCAACTATCCCTATGTTAACGCGGCTGTTACGCGCGGCTGCCAGCGAGCAACGCCGGCCGCCAGTGTCGAGCGGTGGCTCGCCCTGACCTCGCCGGAGGGGCCGTGACGTCAGTGTCACCGGCCGGCGTTCAGAGCCAGCCGGCCGAGCCGTAGTCTGCGCGGCGCGAGCGAGCAGTGAGGGCCGGCGGCGGTCGCGGCTGAGATAGCTGGAAGATGAAAGATAGCGCCAGTTGTCTGCGTTTGATGTGATTGTTGCTTTGACTGGTAAGTCAAAGTACCATTTACGAGTAGCATTTGCAAGATTGTGCCTTGTAATATCGTGCGGTCTAGGCTATAGTTCATTGTAGCTCTAGCCTGTAAGGTGTTGACATGTTTGATCTAGCCTGTCGCACTGTTACGGGAAGACTGGTGCAGGTATTTTTTTGTGATTTTTTTTTTAATGAATTGAATATGTCTGATTTTCCCTCATGTCTTCCCGCAGACGTCCTGCAACTCGTCAGCGCGCCTTGTGGCAGGCGCCAGGCCTACTGTCGGCAAGGCGGTAGCGAAGTGGCTGTTCGGAAGCTGCGGCCGGAACGGGGGGCGCGCAGACCGTCTGGTCAGGCACTGCCAGCTGCCTAGGGACATCGAGGCCGCAAATGAGCCGGTGCCTAACGGTCCGCCGAGTGATCAGCGAGGGTTAGTGAAGAAGTGAACTTCCGCCAGTCCTGGCGTGCTCGCGGCTAGCGCTAGAGCCGGTAGAACCCAATTCCGTCCCACGCCCCCATGGGGGCGCCCCTGGGCCCCATGCCCATCACCGATGCCGCCGCTGTCGTTTTTTTTTTTGTAAATTGACCTGTGTGATGTATTGAAATATACACTTTTTACATGCCTTTTTTACAAGTCTAGAGAACGGGAAGAGAGCGTCGGAAACACATTCTGAGTATGTTGCGAACACGTTGAGAGGACGTTGCGAAAATGTTTAGGACGTTTACTCAGGGTCGCAGGGACGGCAATACGAAGTAGCGACAACGTGGTGCGCACGTGATAAAAACGTTCAGAAACGTCGCAGAGGCGTTGCCAAAGCGTTCTAAACTCCTTGTAGTCACGTTGTGGAAACGTGGTGACAACGTTCCAGAAACACTGTTGGCACGTTACAGAAAACATTTCATAACGTTGGCGGGACGTTGTGAGAACGGTTTTGGGACGTCACGGTCACGTTACAGAAACGTTGTGACGACATTCAAATGCATGGTCGGATGACGTTGTCACGCCGTTGTCTGGAGTCTACAAAATTACGTTGTCACAACGATAAATCGGAACGTTGTGATAACCATTTGACAACGTTTAAACGACGTTGTAACAACGACAAATTGTTAGCTGGGTAGGTACTTAGTCATATAGCTAGTAGTTGTGTAGGTTAGTTGGGTGCTCTTAGATTAGGTTGTTAGTTTTTAAATTGCCTAGTGTCCATAAAAATGTGACCTGAGGGCTGAGCATACCTGACTAACCTGACCTAACCTCAATCATCATTCATCACACATATTTGCAACCTACCCAAGACCTGCATAGCAGTAGCATTCAGTTATAGGTAGGTACTTACTCACCCTAGCTCCATCTCACCTGCTAACCTTCAACTTGCCAACAGTTAGCTCACCTTGCCAAGCCGCATCCAACTATCCAGGGAAACAGTCAACTGAGGAACTGGCTCATTGGGTGGCATGGTGAGAGTCTGTGCGTTTAAAGTGTCTCTTCTCTGAAGCTGCTCAGCACAACAGTGTATGCCATGTTAGATGCTCAGAAAAATGTGGGAAATGATAACTAGGCTACTTTAGTGCTTTGTTCATGCTCAAGACATCAACAAGTACAAATCCTGTGGGGTAAAGCTATGAGCTGGGTGAGTAATGAGTATGTCAGGTGAGTGTGCTGTTGGACTGTAGTAAATATACAAACAAACACAGGGTCACAGTTATATTCAATCTCCCACAAAAACATACAACAAAAACGCCCATAGCCTCACTCCGAGCACACAACAAATAGCTAAGCCTTGCAGTCACAAAAACGCTTTGATTTACAGGATAGGTATACAATATATCCTCTGTCCTTGGGGCTTGGGGATCTTCCTGCCAAGTTGAAGTAAGATGACTGAACTTCAGGATTGATCAACCTTTTCTTCTTAGCCACAGCTTATATACGAGAAAGACTAAATACTTGGTTGATTGACTGCCTTGAAAATTTTATGATCCATCTTCAATTCTGACATGAAGGCACAAAGACAATAGTTCCCTCTCCTCTTGGAATACACAAAACAAAATATGTAATATTTAATAACTTCTTAGTGGATGGACAAGAGCAATTATCATAGCTTCCCCTCAAGTTAACCTCTGGCACTGATGAACTACACTGACACCTCTGATCCAAGATAAACTTGAAATGTGTAAATATGTCTAGTCAATCATGCAACGGATGGAACTTGAGGTCAATATATTTTGCGATATACAACGTTACTTTGGAACCTTTTTGCATGTTTGCTTCATATTTTGTAACAAACGCG